TTCCGCCGACTTCACTACCTATCACAGGGACGTGGAAATCTCATTAGGAGCTGAATAGCCTGGGTCCTACCGCTCAGAACATCACGGGGCGCTCTGCGCACAAGACATGGACGGTCAGTCTGATGGGTGCGGAAGCGAGGTCTCCAGGTGAGAAGTGTACTACGCTGTTAAGGTATCCGCCTCTGCCTCTTGTACTCTTTCAGGTACGTGCGTTAAGCTGACTTTTTTGTTCAATAGAGTACAGAACTACAGAGAGCATAATTATTTAATTGAAGGATATGTCAGTGTGCTCTATCGAAGAGGAATAAACAGCACAGTTGCAGGTAAACAGCGGTATGTTGTGACTGTTAAAGAACGGACAGTATTATCACCAGCGTAGATCTTAAAATAGATCTTTAATGACTTTAAGTGTGAAATTAAGACGTATTGATGTTTGTTTCTCTACATTTAGTTTATTATGAGTCAGCGTGGGAGCAATAGTAATACATTTAATTTAAATTAAACAGGATAGTAATTAAACTTGATTACCACTCCACAATATGCGGTTCTTAACTCTCGCCGTGGTGTTAATCGTGACCTCCCAAAAGCGGGTAGTTATCGCTGATTTTTAGGATGGTCGGTCCCCCCATTTAAAAGCCCATCATGAGTGTTAGGGATGCTTTACCATTACCGTTCATGTCGGTAAGGATCAGAGCTATAGGCGTCGCCTCGCCCCTCAAGTTCAAGCGCTGCTATACCGTTTCAGATTCCCGCTGCCCTTCGCCATCAGCAGCTCGAGAGATCAAGCCCGATTCAGCACTGGTAATGATCCGGTCTGGTAACAGACTGCTCTTTCAAGCCGAGGACTGACAAGGAGTTTACAAGTTTGCGTGTAAATACACAAAGACTGGCAAACAGGCTCAATCACTTTAATAATAATAATAATAATAATTCCTTACGCTTATATAGTGGTTTTTTTTGGACATCCACTCAAAGCGCTATATATGTATAGCCAATATACTTTATATCTAAGTATGCATGTACTTATTGAGACAAACATCAAAATTAATCTAACATGGGCAGTCAAAATTCCATCATTATTTAAAAGCTGTGGGGTAGAATAATCTCGTAGACCAGTTCCATTACGGAAGAATATTTGAGGTGATCGAATCTTTCTTCAGAATGCCGGCGATTCTGTCACTTGGGAATATGGATTTTGTCTATGTATCCTAAATATTTGCCCAATCCGTGGTGCCGATTAGCTCTTAAAAACGTACCCCGAATTTACTCCAGCATAAACCAAACGGGGCCCCAAGTTTAATTGGAAATCTAAGGCAGACGCTTCCACAAAGCGAGCACACGGCGCTCGTAAACCAGCGCAGACCCTCGGGTTGAAACTGGTGCAACACTAGTTACCGAGCATCACGTTTATAAAAGCGATTCGCAGAGTGTGTAATAGTATAAAGCCAAGCGACTTTCACAGGCAAATGTGGAAAAAAATATTCCTACTGTAAAATGTCATTAAAAAAATGAGTGACCGAAACAATCTCTTACAACGCCTTGAATAGAAGGCGTGCCGAGGAACATTAAATAAGAACATAGTTACAAACGAGAATAAGCCATTTGGCCCGTATATCCTGTTTAGTACTTAGTGGTTAACTGATCCTTAAATACACAAAACAATTACTGCTGAAAACATTCGCTTTGAAACGGGATTTTTTAAGAAACCATTTTAGTTCATGTGAACAGTGCAGTCCACGTTTCATCCAGGAGTGTTGCTGGTTTTTAATTGCAGTTCTGTGGTAGGGATAATTGACACAATTTCAATCTGCCCTTATTAAATTTAGTACTGCGACCTGCAGACTTCTGAAAAATAGATGAGCTTGTGTCCGTGATTTTCACTTCAGCGAACAGCTGAAACTGCTCAACATTTTTTAAGTAGTAAGAAATCATTTTATTTCGCTTTTACGTTGTCACATATTGCATATTAGACTTTGGTAAAATAACTTAAATGACTCGTTTACGCATGAGGCTTCAAGCTTCTTTAACAGAGGGAGAAGGGACAGCACTTACGTACTTTGTGTGTAGACTTAATATCAAACTTTCTAAATACCCCGAATAATGGGGCGTCTGCTTATCTAATAATATTATTAACATTAACAAGTACAGACATAGCACGTGCCTGCATTCTCAAAAAAATCATAGCTAAATTGTCTGCATTGTTTATGCGCCTTGAAGGCTGAACACCATCATTATACAGTAAGATACCACAAATTTAAAACAGACCAAGCTTTTTTTGGGGGCAACACTAATTAATGCAATTAATGCCTCCGATTTTAAGGAATACCATGAAACGGATTGATTCGGCTAACGGCAAAAAGTTCACCTGAGAACAACTGTGTTCTATAAAATAGTCAAATCGACTTCAAGAATTAAAATCGGTGTAACAGCGTACTTAATACAATTGCCTATAGAAAAGCAAGGGAAATCAAATGTCGGAGAAAACATTCTGTACATGAAAATGTCACGAAGAGAAGTAAACAACATATACACAATCCAGCAATTAGTCCAAAGTAGCAAAGACAGTGTAGAACAGTATAACAAGAGACTCATTGGGAAAAAAAGAAACATCTAGGTGTGTAAAAAATATAGCACACAAAATGATATAGTGGGATCCATGATCATCATATTTTATTCAGACCATTTATTATTTAGATATGTCTATTATGGCAAAATGGGTAAGATGTTTGTTTAAAAACGCTAATTATGCAGTCGGTAAATTTCCTGCTGATTCCATGACTGGCTAGGGACAAAATATATTTAAAAGACATGATTAAATATAACGGTTTGAAGAACTGTGTCGTGCAATTATTATGCATTATGTATTAAAATAATGAGAGGGTCTTACCGGCGGAAGTGTAGCTCTTCCAGAACGCTGTACCCGGATGAAGCAATGCTTCATGACCAATCCCGGGACAGAATGGGCGACATCACCTGGTCAACATCATCTCCTGGTGGCCCCGCCTTCAGGCAGGTGAGTTGACAGTATACAGGTGTTATTGCTACATTAAAAAAAGGTTTTATGAGGGTATGAGAATCCTTGCACGTCTTTCTCGTTAACCCATTTCCGATGAATATCGTGGTAAGCTGCTGACGTATTTTTTCTCTGCATGTGTTCCTACGATGGAACAAGCCGAGAATAATGCCACCGTGAAAAGTAGAAAACAAATACAGCGATTTGGCTGTGGAGCAATCCGGTATATCATAAATCTGAAAATGGCTAAACAGTTTAAACGTTGTATTTTGTCCATACTTTCCAGCGTATAATTAACCTCCTCTTGTTCCTAGACAACTTTTCGTTTGGATTTCACGTCTGTGTGCCGTGTGGACGTCATTTAAAGTGGTCTAAGGGAGGTGAAACGTTCTTCCAGTCTAGTTACACTGAAAAGCAAAGAAACTAGTTTTATTCAGGATTCCATAATTCGCTCCCCCAATAATGTGATTCAGTACGTTAAATGGAAATTTTAAAATGATTAAATCAGTGAACGCTATGCATTTTAATAAGTTTGTTTATAATTTTTTGTTGATAAAATTCTTTAAGCGAATGTTGACGGTTCAACAACTACATTTACGATGAACTACATAAACAATAAACTGTTTACCAGACTCGATATTTCAATATAGATCTTTAAAATTGTACGATCGCATTTAGTAAATTTCTGCCTTTCTTACTTTAATTCTTCAAAAACCCTCGGAGTAAAATTTGGTTATCCTTGCAGACCTTCGTAGTGTCAACAATTTACTCCACACAGCAATCTCGTCCAACATCTACCTTCTTAAAATGTCAGATTTATCGACTGGTAGCCAGTGTATTCATTGATCAATTATGACTGTCTATTCGTAAACAGCAGATTTAACAAAGGTTGCTGTTTAAGTGCCACCAGTACGCTAAAATACATTCGTGTCAAACGTTTGAAATTCTCTTCATCTTGGAGTTGGTTTATATTTGATAGAGAGATTCTAAAAGTAATGCGTATATCATTTGAAGCCGTAAGCAAAATGTGATTTTTTTTTGTAAAAAAAGAAGCATATTTTAAAGGATAAATCCACCTTGCTTTATTAGGAGCACCGTTATTGGAATCAAGAGCTGAACCAAGCCGTCTACCACGTTAGTGCGGGGTTATAGAATCCGGTTCAATGTAGCTTTGGATATGTCCAGATACTTCTCTTCTGCCCAAAGCACGCTCAAAATTTGAACAATGCATTAAGGATCAAAAACTTTGGCTTTGATTTTTTTTTCTCTATTACGCAATACCATACTAAGATGTCGAACAAAGGGCTAAATACTAGATTTCTGAAATGATTCATCTCGGTCTTCTTCATAGCCTGTTGGTAAGGTTAACATCTAAAATCAAAATAACAGAACCGTGCCAGAAATCGTTTTTATTATACGTTATTGGATTTAAGAGACTCTCTGTTCTATTCTGAAATGGCTTTACATTTTCACGCATTATCAGTTTCTAACCACAATTAATTTCTAAAAATCGTCGACGTGGTTTTTCTGAATTTCATGGCATTCTTCACTTTTGTCGCACTCTATCGTACATGAAAGGAAAAACAAGCGGAACAGACGGATCCTGTGACGGTAGTATTAGATAAACGTCGCTTTACGATGTAGGTTGTTAATGATTAAAAAAAAACACACGGAATACTTATTAATTGCATAAACATCTTAAGCTATTTTGTTTCGACTTTGGCCTATTTTACCAGCTTCTCTCCGTTCTTCAGCGCTGCTTCTTGAACAGACTTAATCGAAGTTCAGCCACACTGTCTTGCTGCGACTAGGACTGAACACCCCTGCTGTACACGAATGACCTTACACCTCCCCCAGGTAGAGCTGTCATGTGGTCTATGAAATTTCAGTTTCCCGGGAAGAAATGCATTATCTGAGACTTTAGAAATGTGTGCTCAGTCTCCTAAAAAGCATTTTGTAATAACCTATGCAGATTAAACCCATATCCTGAGTTTGCAGCATTCAAAATTTAATATTAAACATTACACCTTTTTACAGCAAGATAGTTTATTTAATACAGTATATAAAAAGTTGAATGCCATGATTATTTTGCTTCTTGATAGTTTAAAACTTTCAGATTTATGTGACTTAAAAATGGAGAACAGCCATTTACATGAACAGTCAACCAATGGTCCCCTCCCCCACATTCAAAACTACAACATGACTTACAGAAATTTAAAAATACTAAAGCCCCCATTTCTTTGTCTCTGATAAGCAACATAGAGCCACCTGTCGTGTAAACATCAGTTTTGACTAGCAGCATGCTAACCCACCACAATACAATGATCATTCACTCCAAATGGTGCAAGACCTCTGGAGTTAAAAGTATTCATGAGCTACTGAATGTAGAAGTCACTTTTTGAAAAGATCCATCAGAAAACTGTCAAAGGGGACAAAAAAAGTGTGTTCTTCAGATGTTAAATAAAATAGGTTAACATTCTAAACTCCAGAATTTCAGTTGTTTTTTCTAAGATGCTACTTATAACCCTTTTGTTCACAACCTTATCTACTCTTTTCTTTCACAAGAATTGGTTGAAGAAGAACAAGTTTAAGGGTTTTGTCCATGTTTAGTTTTTGGAAAGAAACTCCCTGTGCAGCCTGCTGCCAGGGCCTCTAAGCCAAGTACTGTTTTACTTGATCTTCCATCAGCACTCTTAGTCATTTCTAGCTAAACCTAAATTAAAGCCAACCACAAGCTAAAGCTTCTTTTTATCTATTTCCAAAAGCTGATGAATGACACCAATTCCACATTAAGAAGCAAAAGCTAATTTAGTCAGTGAATGGATTTTTTAAACTTGTACCAATGAAGCCAATTCATTCTGGTCTCATTTAAAGGTGTGAGGTCTCTCCTCCATATTAGAAACACTTCCCTAAAATTCTAGTAGCGTTCTTTATAACAGCAAGGCTTCCAAATTCATATGCCCCTTTGGTATTATGGTTAAGTACAGATTGCAATTTCACAATCACTGTTTGCACAATAAATAAGCAGTGTTCAGTGGCCGCTGCGTACAGCAGACCATTGTTAGCGTAATGGGAGAAAGAATTAGAAAACTCAGGTAAGAAGCACGTTACAGGCATTAACACCTGGTCAACAGGAGGTAAGACTATATACACTAATGTACTCCCTTTTGTACTTCTGAATCCCAGAGAGATTCAAAGAAGGAAGAGAGTAAGGTGTCCGCTCCATACTGTAGTGTTCAACAGCCCTCTGCTGGAGGGAGAGGAATGAGTGGGGTGATTCGTGGGGAGGCAGCGTCTCACTGCAGGAGCTCTTCCCAGGAGATCGGTTTGGAGAAGACCTCGCGTTCCAGCCAGAGGTCGTAGTTCATCTGGAAGTCCTCTGGCAGCTCCACCCGCTGTCCCAGGACGCTCTGCAGGCAGTTGTCCACGGGCAGGAAGTCGGGATTACCCTGGCCCTTGTCGTAGCGGCGACTGTTGAAGCGCTCGATGTTGGCTCGCAGCGCACATTCCTCCGCCTGGAAATCCCAGGGCCGGGCATCCAGGTCTGCTGCCGAAAACACAGGTTTGGTTTCCATGAAATTAAAGACACACTATTGCAGCTTTTACCTTCCACCTAACCTTGTTTCATACAAATAAACCTATGGTTATGATGGGATCACAGGGCTAGTAATGGAGTTTTTCCTTTTAGCCCAAGGACTCATTCTCTTCTACTTCAAGGTGGAGGAAGGATGAGTGCAATGCAAATTGTTGAAGGAAAGATTTTAAAATGGTAATTGAGATATAACGTTAAAAGTAAAATACTGTATTAATTTGGCTTCATTTATTGCCTTTGTACCGTTAAGGAGATGAAAATGAGTGACATAATAAAGTGTTGTTTTTAATACACCATTCATGATGGAGTTAGCATTACGAGCTCTTGCCTTAATTCTACATTAGGTCTTAATTACTTTTGGTCTGTGCCATTTGTTCAAGGAATAGTCATTTCTTGTTGGAGAGAAATCTCCATATTGTACAACAATATACCCTTCGAGAAGTGGTATTACCAATCTATGTCTTCGATAAGGATTACAGTATTTTTCAGCAACCCTTACTTAAATACACAGCTATACAGAATAGATGCAAGAAAAAACGAGAGTGGAGAGTTTCTGAATGTGGTTAAGTGCTGCAAGAGGACTCACCGTTGCCATATGCCCAGTCATCATTGAGCCGATGGCGCACTTTCTGGTAGATGGCAGACATGGTCTTCATGTTGCTTTTCCTCCACTGGCGTCCCAGATACTTGGTTTGCACCTTGAGGAGCTTCAGCACGTACAGCTGCATCATGGCCTGCTTTACCTTCAGTGCCCTCTTCAGGATGGGGGCTGACTTAAACACCACAAGCATCTGGGATGGGACGTGAGAGAGTACACAAAGCAATAAAGTAAAAGCTCGAAACCTTCCCCTCTGTTGCTCAAGTGCAGCCCCTTCCAGGGGACATCTGAAAGATCCATTCTTCACAAACGTCCCCAAAATTTTTAATTCAGAATAAACACGTACCAACCACTTTATTTAAATCTGGCTTTACAGCTCGATAGGGCACAGGAAAGAAGGAGGACCAGCAGTCACATTCTCCAACTCCAATCTGCCAAAGGCTTTCATGTTTTGACCCTAGAGAAGAGGTCATGCCCCACGGAACATAGCTATGCTTCTTGCTTCTAAGCTCCCAGCCAATCACAGGAACCACTTCTGAAGTGAATGGGCCCTGGCCAAATATCGCCCATCCCATGCCATCTATTGTGCAATGTTGCTTCCAGAATCCGAGTTACAAACTTCTGGTCCTGTGACCCAGGGGAGACCCCACTACTGGGTGTTTGAAACCCTGAACTTTTCATTCCACTTCTGTAACCTCTGCCACCCAAACAAAAAGCTATACATATAGTGGGACAGACCAACAATTTACACTGGCAGAAATGTCTGTGTTGGAACGTTTCCTGTTCCCCCCACAGGTAAGGGCATAAGTATGGACCTCACCATAGTCCGTGAGTGCTTCCACTTGGTCAGCTTGTTCAGGATGCGTAGCAGGTTGATGCAGGAGAAGAGATTCCTCCAGCAGAACTGGTTATTGTCACCTGCTTCCTGTCAGATGCAGAACAAGAATCTGTCAGCCACTCAATGAACAGATGTTTTTTTTGGTTTAATTAAACCGCACCAATCAGTGCATTTAAGGAATTGTAAATGGAAAAATAGTACATAACATTATGCTTCCCGTGCATAATGTATACAGCTGTTTCTAGTAATGGAATTGTTATTGGTACATACACGTTCCTTGTGTTTTAACATAATCAAAAATATATGAAAACAGTATGACAGAATGTTGAGCTTTCTCATTTTCTCAGTTGAGACCCAGAGCTGTGGTCAATATTAAACCAATCTATTTCTGCGTCAGAGGAGTCCAAGTGAGAGCATGCCTGGAGCTACTGCAAACTGCACTTAGCAATGTTAAATGTATAGATTTTTCTCCGAGTTCAGTGTTAATAGAACCAGATTAACTGGCATTTACAGAACTTCACTGCAGTTTACCTTGCGTGCACTGAAGAGAATTTATAATGCTAATCAAAACAGAAATTGGAGAACATTTACATCACAGTTAAACATGTACATGCCCAGGGTCTTGCAAAGTCTATCAAGAAAATGTATAAAAAAATGTGGATAAATGAGATTTTATACACATACACACAAATGCATTTTGTATGCATGCAGTCATCATGGGCACTGAATTAACATAGCACCCCATGTTGTGTATTGCTACTGCTGATGAGAATGCAATAGAAATGAATTTATCCAAACTGCAATGTTTTCACAGTGTTGTTGTTTGAATGGGCCCGCTCGATTTTACAAGCTCCCTGTCCAAATGCAAGGTGTTTCTTGTTTAACACTGATGTGTTGAAATGGAGCTATGAGGAAAAAAATGGGCTCTGTTCAACTAAGAATGTAGGGATGCAATGAAATTTTGTCCCTTTTCCAGGTAAGATTTCTTACCAAGCTTTCCGCAGTGAGTTCAGGGAGGTCATGTACCACACAGTGAGGAAAATCTAACACAGAAATACTGAGGAAGGAAAAAAACGTTGTTCAATACAATCTTAAATGACTGAGAAAAAACAAGCATAAAACATGTGAAAAAACGACATTGCTTTCTCATAGCTAGGACACTTTATGCTACCGTGTACCATGGACATAGATTTTTTTTAAATGGTCAACATGCTTAAAGCCAACAACATGAACTGTTAATACTTACATATTACATACATGTATTGGTACCCTCTGTTTGGAAGAAATCAATGCAGGCTTTTTTCAGGCAAATGAATCAGAACACATTCTTAAATGGTTGAGTTCAAATTCAGCATGTCCTGTATTGATGTGCTAGAGTCTATAAGACTTACAAATGGCTGTAATGACAGAGAGACTACAGTTCCTCTGAAACGTGGACTACACTAAAAGCTCTGGAAGGCAGCTTACCTGTTCTTTGCCGTGATGTAGGACATGATGTTCTGGTTGAAGAATTTTAGGATCAGAGGGATGCAGTTTGCAAAGACAAGGTGCTGAGCCATGTACTCAAACTAACAAAGGGAAGCAAAAGAACAAAGATTTAGAGCTACAGCTGATTGTTTTGTGTTACATTAAGAGTTTTCAACCTACTTCTTTGTGTTGCTATTGAGTCGGCCATACCTGGTACACGTGGTTGAGTTTGAAGTGCTTGAGAAGCAGCAGCAGGATGGCAGAGATGGCTTTTACAATGATCTCTTTGTGCCGGTTTACATCCACCCCCAACTTCATACTCTGCAGCACCGTTGTGCTGAAAAGAATCACAGCAGGAACAAATGCAATGTCATTTTGGGATTCTACAGACCTCCTGAGTGATGTCAACCGAGCAATCAATAATATACAGGTTGTAGAGCAAGATTGAGAATTCCTTCAGATCCCTAAAACAGATTACTGCCAAAGAAATGGTCCTTTAACCTGGAATCAGACTTTCCTTTGCATCATTCCTACTTCTTTCCATGTGGAATTGATCATGAGCAGCAGTCAATTATATGAAGTCATTAATATAAAAAAAAGTAATACACGTTGACTACCGTGTTCCTCAAAGCCAAGGAACACTGCACAGAAAAAAAGACTAAAGGAAAAGTGACAACAGATTGTAAGACTTTGATTTTCTTTTAAGTTCAACTCAAACTAGAGTCCTGCTTGTGCATTTGCTAGAAGTTTGCAAAACAAAAAACTTTTTTTTGTCAATGGAGAACAATTAATTACACAAGCAGAAAATTCACAGCCAGGTTTTACAACACTCACGGCATCTCCTCGGGTAAGACATCTGCCAGAATGTTGATGGAATCAGTCTTGGCCTTTGAAGTAGGGGCAGCAGCAAGAAGGATCTTTAACAAAGCAATCTATGGACAAAAGTAGGAGGGAGAGTGAATTCTCCCATCTGAGGATTATACAGGACAGAGGTTTTAATCACAGAGAAACATGCATGATAAATTTTGCACCATTTTGTGCTCAACCAGATTTCCCCCCTATAACCTTCTTTATCCACTCTGCTATTACCCTGACATCATGACGTTTCTGGAAATATAATCTAATGATTTCCTCACTACCAAACTAATCTTCCATTTTACTGTATTAATCTAACCTATGTCAACTGATCATTTATACTGTGTTGAGACTGCTGGTGTGGGACATCTGAACTTCAGTCGTCTCCTCTATTCTATAGGTTTCTCACTTTTTTGGTTTTGCATTGATAAGTAAAAGAAAACATGTTTTTCCACATCTGAAACCACAAAATATTACAAGTTAATATCTTTAGGGAACAACTTTGAAGCTGAACAACTTTGAATAAAATACATATATAAAATGGCCATACTGTAGATTAATTCTAAAATACTGAAGTCTGATGATTCTGATTATTCTAAAACATGAATAATGGGTGAGAACAGTCAGCCTTGTGCACTCTCCAGGAGCGCCAGTAACGAGAGCTACCAGACGTACCATGTACTGCGGAAGGCTTGGGAGAATGCCTTGATATAGGAGCTCTGTCGGACTCATGTCAACCTCCTCTTCCCCCTTGTCAACACAAACATGCGTAGGTGGTCAGTGGCAGTGACATTCAGTTGCAAGAACATGCGTGTGGAGCTCCATGGCCTCCAACACTCATCCATTTTGCATTTGCATATAGAGAAAGAAATGTATGAACATGCTTAAGACACATCTATACCCTTCACAAACAAAGGCCATGCTGCTTCTACACATAGAAAGAAGGGGATGTACTGTTGGGCAGGGTATTAAAAAACAATACTTTTAAACTAAGTGGTTCATGCTTTCCTTTATCAGAAAAGGTTCCAGAGACACTTCCACAAAACAAAATCAGTCCACTTACCCCAGAAAGTGGAGTCTTCTGAAACTCTTCTTCTTTTCTTATCTGAATTTCAGCTACAGATATATATTTATGCTGTAAAAGTCGCAGAAATAAATTACTAACACACTGAAGTCTGCAAATCCACAAGACAAAAGTGAGAAATAAATCTTTTCATAACAAGTTACAATTGATGTAGTATATTTCTTGCCTTATGGCGAATTGCAGTCCCAATTTCTCAGACTGATTATTAAATCCCAGTAACAAAATAAATTCATTGATGGTATCCAAAAAAACGTACAAATTTCAAATTAAGCTTAAAAACACGAACTTTGTGAAAGTACTGTAATTCACGATGTTGTTGCAAACCTCTGGTCTTGCCACAGACAAGAGCGAGAGTTCCCATGAATTGTATGTTTTCAGTTGTACTGGGAGGTTTCACAAGTTACAATGTGTACATTTTACTGTGGTTCGAAATGCATTCATCAATGCCAATTCTTTCAAACCCCAAAATATAAAAGCGGTGTTGCAGTTCCCCTTTAAAAGAAAAGCATTTGCATTTTAAGTAGTTTTAGCAACGTGTAATACAGTACCTGTTTCAGAGTTTTGATACTTTCATGGATAGGCCTGGGCAACCCAACCACCGTATCTGTGTCACTGCAATGGAAAGAAAAGCACTGTGATGAGGAACAACAGAAACAAGTTTCTTTCAACTCTGTCTTATTTGGTGATCTTTCAACATAAGTTAATACACTGAGTGACAAATTGCAAGATTTTCTCCATTTTCCAAAGCATGTGTTACAATGCAGTAGCAATCCCTTACACTAAAAATAAACCATTTTTAATTGAAGTTACTTAGAAATGTCTAATGACTATGAAGTGTATTCCTTACCACCTTATTTACAAATGCTTCACATCACACTGTTGATTCATAAACCCAACAATGGTGGTAAATAACTTTTCATAATAAATCTTAAAACTGTAGAATACAGCTTTATATTATGCTGTAGCCTAACATCATTACTTCCTAATTTAGAATCAATTTAATTTGTGCAAGGAATACAGGCAAATATAAAAATATACAAGGTGCTGACAATGACGATGTAGTAAACAATATTCTAATCACCCTGTACATACACAAACATTTGCGAATCACCATTTTTTTACACTACAAAATCCCCCCAACTGCGAATCAAATCAGTTCACTAATACAACTCTTGCACCAGCAGAGGAGATTTGAGGAATTTGTGTGCATTTTCCTGTACTCTACTTTATGCACTACTCATATCGGGCTCCATTTTGCATGCTGGCAATCCCATACTGCCTTACAGGAGAATTAGCGTTAATGCAGCTCTCAATGCTAGATCATAGGAAGCTAGCAAGCCACAAGGGGGCGCTGCTGCACAGCCACTGAAGGATACTGCAACTGCACTACAGGTGCTGATACAGGTCACAACAGGCTGATAGACAAAGCCTGGGTTCCCACCAACAACGTGTTGGCTAGAGAGCTCAATTTAAACGATCAACGAGCACCTTCACTGCTTTAGTCAAAGTATTAAGATGAGATATGGAAAAAGAACGGAATTGTAGTCCAAGAAAAATTACTCAAGATGCCCAACAAGCAGGATCATTGCCAAAAATGTCAACAAGAACATCTGGATTACATAAAGTAGCTCACGTCTGAAATACTGAGGTTTGGGGATCTTCATGGATTGTTCAACTTAAATGATTCTGACATGTATTATAAAGACATACCCTTACCCAAAGCATATAGACATTAGGGTTCACTGGCTACATTAAAGAAAAATCTTTGTTGTTGTTTTTTTCTGGGGGGGTTGTATATCAAAGGGCTTTTAAAATGGAAAAAATAACTCAGTAAAGCAACTATTACTTACTTTCCTAGGGTGTAACCAATAAATTTACTTCGGCTAGACTCAAGAAAATTTTCAATGTCCTTCTCCCTGTAACAGAAGGAAAAAAACTGCTGTGAGAAAAAAAAAAATTCTAAGTTAAATGAATCTAGAGACCTAGAGACTCAGGGCATCAATAAAGATGTTTCAGAATTCAAAATAAGAATAAACCCACAGAATCCACAGATGAAGAGTAAACATATGTCAGGCTAACTGCTTATTGTGCTATAGCCCTAACACCACAAATCATCTGCTCAAAAGACAAGATGAGAACCTGAAAACATAACCACACCAAACAGCATTGCGATCAAGCAAGATAAACACAAGGATGAGTTTCCAAACCACAACGGGGCAAAAAGAGACTCAGCACTACGTCTCGGTAGCAACAGCAGTGGTAAATCTGAAACAAATATTTTCATTTTTAACAATAGTAACAACAGAAAAAAGAGCAATCAAAAACAAAAAGGAGAAAAAATAAATAAACAATAAGCCACTGACAAGAGTGTGTTGAAACAGGAAAAAAACTACAAAATTCCAGTCTAGTCCAAGCGCACAATAACCCTTTATTCTGTAACCAGACAAAATCTGGGCTTCAGAATAAAAGTTCAAAGCCCAGTGTAAAGGTTTGACTACGTCCTGTTCCAGCAGCTCTGATGCAGCAGGAAAGCTATATGTCACTATACCTTGCAGTGAAAAATCCTGAAAGTTTCACGTACCTCACTTTGGGGGCCCAAGGCAGGCCCTTGGGGAAAGATACTCTTTCAGAGGGCGGATGTGGGATAGGGGGTGGCATGACTTCGTCTCGCTCCAGGGGAAAGGTCTCAGCCTCCAGGCTGTTGTCGTTGTCGTCATTATCGTCCTCGTCCTCTCGGGGGTCGTCCGATTTGTACGGGTCCTTTTCGTTGAAGGCGTCCAGGTTGTCCTGTTTGATGAGTGCCTGTGGGCAGGGACACAGGAGGGAGATAGAGACAGAGTGGATGAACAGTTTGTGCAACACAAACACGTGGATTTTGCAGTTGTCCTCTTGAGTCTTAAGCCTAGCATACACATGGGAGCATGCTCCAGGCACAGTGTTTCCTTGTGTATGCTGGCTGTTTCCAGAAATAAGGAAACACATATCCTTGAGTAGGCCTGGCTTCTACATTTTCAAGAAACATTTTGCCTTTGGGCAATCAGAAGAGACTTTGTGAGCACGAGTTCCTCAGTAGCATGACTTGAGAGACAGCCAACTTCTAACAGAACATTTTATTGATCCATACCCTGCTAGACCATGTCTGTTTAACATGAAAACTCCCATGCAATAACAATATACTGCAATCAGTGCAGTGCCACTCGCTGCTGCAAGGCTTTCATCCATTTTGAAGCATGTGGCAAGAATGATCATGGGCTGTTTGGAGTTTGTCAGCGTTGTTTTCATGATAATGATTTGTGACATGTTTTGAAGAAACACGTTTCCTCGTAAATACTCGCCATAGGATTTTATTTGCTCAGAGAGTTTCCACTGGTCATCTGGGAACATCATCTAACAAACCCCTTTTCCTGTCATGTGACCATTCCAGCGTGGTACACACGTTTCAATTGTTATTTTCCCACAGCCAGTTCCAAGACACTGATGCCACTGGAATTCCTGCATTTTCACAGCATGGGCAAAACCTGGAAAATGTTACATTTACAATTTCTGAGCAGCAACAGATTGGTGTAACTTCCCATACCACCCCGCAATTTGTAGAGTTTTGTAGAGTAACAAAGCAGCAGAGGGAGGAGCCGCAGAGAACCCCGGTAAGACTTGACGCCCCTTCTGAGGGGAGAAGGCAAAAATGGAAAAACAAAAGAAAAATGTGCTGCTTTGCGCAGCGGCTTCCAGGCTGGACTCCCATTTTAACCGGGTCCCATCCTTTGAAAACAGAACCACTTGGGACAGCGGAATCCAGACTGGACTTACCCTATCAAACAGGGTCCAGTCTGGAAGAAAAGGAGTGTGTGGCCACAACAACAAAAAAACTCAACCTGTCCCAGTGGATATACATGGCAGGACAGGGGAGGAAAAGTTCAGCCTCCCCCAGCAGAGATACACGGCAGGACAGGAGAAAAAGAAAAGAAAACGAAGGAAAAGCGCAATCTCAAACGCTCTCGTCACAATCCCCTCCAGGACTGTTGCTGGAAGATTTTCCCCTTGCGGGGGTTTTCTCGTCCCTTTGGAGAGGTGCTCAGTGCGTCTTAAAGGACCTCCACAGTTGTGGCTCGTCCTTAATTGACCAGGACAGCCGTGGTTGCTAAGGCAACGCATTGCCCTTAATCCAGGGTTCCACCTCCACACTGCAAACATCCCCATGTAATGCCACAGTAGTCATAGAACAATTTATACAGGCAACCATATAATAAATCCATATTTGGATTTGGCAGCATTTACAAAGAATATATAAAAATGAAATAGAAACAGAAAGAGGAAGAAAAGCAAGGTTTGTATTTATAGTTTAGGAGATTTCAATGTTGACATCATTGAATCTAGAGCATACTGGTTTTAAAACTTTTTTTTAAATGGTGTATTTAACAATCATAATATTTTTAAGCACGATCACATTTCTGAGGAAATGCTAGAGGGTACCATAAAAAATCGTTCTGTCCCACCCACAGGGCTCTGATGCAGCACAGAAAGACAACTAGACCTTAAACCTAGAGTTTAACCTTAAAGTTTTCTACATTCACATGCAGCTTTGATTTCAACAGCTTAAGATGCCAAATTCCAACAAGTTACAAGTCTGATCCTCCTGAGGCCAATTAAGAACAAGGCCTGACAGAACGGCCTTACCTTGTGTTCCCGGCGAGCTCGTTTCTGTTGCTGCTCGATGAGGTCAGAGGCGGAGGCAGGGGGCGAGGCAGCCCTCATGTTGCGGATGACCCGGATACTGTCCTCGGGCAAGGGGGGCAGTCCCAGCTCTTCCCGTCTCCTGATCTTTACGTTTTGGAGCTGCTCAAAACCTCCCAGTGTGAACTGTCAAAGCACACAGAGTACTGAAGACCACTAGAGGCATTACTGAAAACTCCAAATCTGGCTCAGATGCCCTCGTCCTGATTCTGGATGAATGTGAGCTCCATGGATTGGAAATCTTTAATTATTTTATCTACAGTTTAACCCTCAGCAAGTATATTGTATATTCTAGAAGGAATTTCTCTTTAATACTACTGTTAACAGTTCTTTAAATTCTTGCTTCAAACGATTGATCTTTAAAAGCAAACTGATTACTGGAAATTCTTATATTGGCAAGCACACAGAATATTCCCATTTTGCTGCAACATGTGCACAAATTTTACATTGAAAGGGGGGGTAAGGTTTTCGTAGTAGATGGCATGCTTTTTGCCTTTCCTGCAGCTTAACCCAAGGTTGTCGGCATGCTTTGCAGAATGCAGAAAACGCACTTTTAATGTAAGTCTTGACGGTAAAAATGTCAGTGCAAAGTAAAAATTACCAGAATGCTCTTCCAGAGCAGCAGAAGGACCTTCTTCATGGGGAAGTGGGGAGCATGGCCACTGCAGAACTTGGTCACCATCCCAAATAGCATGACTGAGATGGGCTCATTGTTGTAGAGAGGGGAGCCTTAAAGCAACAGAACAAGTTTACATCCTCTGCTATCAGTATTCTTACAGGACCAGTCTAAAAAATCATTTTTTTTCTTTTAAAAATACACCAATAAAGAACACTTCAGGTACACAATATATACAAAATAATTGTTTTAAATGGGAAAACATCCAACAAACACCTCTAACTTAATCAATGGTGCTGGATATCCTGAGTGGCTCCTCCCCAAGTCCTCACCCAGATCAGCAGCCCAGGTCACATCACTCAAAAGTACCACTGAAGTTGGAATGGTAGGGGCTCTCTCTGCTTTCCAGCAAATGAACGCTTACAGGATAGCAATGGGATGTGTTTAATTGGGGATGTGCAGTTCCTCTAATTGCCTGTAAATGTCCTGTCAGGTGCTGTGGAGCTACCAGTCTGTAAAATGTTTGATAGATGGGCGTGTCGGGGGAGCATGACCAAGGGCTTTTTTCATTTCCTCACAGGCACAGGATCTTAAAACAATTGGCCATTTCAAATTAGAATGGTATATAAGAAAAAGAAACAACACTTTCTGGATGAGTCAGATGTTGCCCATTAACTTCACTCATTTCCAAAGGCTACTGAACTCCTCACCGATCCAGCTGTAGCCCTGCACTCTCGAGACCTACCCAGCTCCGTCTTGAAGGTCTCACGGGCAGCCCTCCACTCTGGTTTGTCAGCCTCGTCCTCCTGCTGGATAGTCTCCACCATCAAGTACATGATGTTGAGCAGCACCCTGCCGCAGCACAAAGGCCATGTCAATCACATCACACTCAGAGCACACTTGGCAGCTGCCACACAAGTTGTGCAAGAGAACAGAGAAAGTGAATTGTGTTTCAACATGAAGCCGTGAGGCGTGTTGTTCTATACAAAAGGAAACGGTGTCTTATGGAATGAGGCATGCTACTTCTTCTGAACACTGAAAACTGCTTCAGTCATTAGTTTTGCTACAATTGCAAATTTTAAGATTTCATATGAAATTACAAGCAAGTAGTGAGCATCACACTGAACCTTCCGTTATGTTTCCCTGGTCTAAAGGAAGTAGCAGAGCCTTGCAGGGTTCCTTACCTGAGGTCAGTGCTATCAGCCAGAGAGATCGCTGGTTTCCGCACCGCACTGCTGCAGGCTGCACTGTTACTACAGACAGGACAGAGGAATATTGTCGTAACACAGAAAGACAAACCAAGCCTTACAACAGAGCCATTTCAGGTTGGATAGGGTGCTGGTATTAATGATGTGAAAAGCCTGTCCACATAATACTATTTTAAATCCACACATTTATCCATGCATTTTAACCCTTAAGATCCCATCTTTGTTTTTGAAGACATTAAAAAATGAACAGGTAAAAAAGGATAATCCCACATTTTTTTAAATAAGACATCTTATTTTAGATGTAGGGTCTAAAGTGCCTAGCATTTATTCAAATGATGAAATGAGAACTAAAAACAGTTCTGAATATAGTGTACATCAGATATTCCCCAGCGCTGAGTGGTAGTGGAGGTCTGCATACCGAGGACATCACTGACATCTATGGGGAAGCTCAACTTAAGCAGGCTCACAACTATCTTGGGTTACAAAGCCAAGTGGCACAGTTTCCATTACAGCAAATGTTAGCAAAGCTTTTTAGTATGAAGCAATAAACCTCAAATTCATTAAAACAAATGGACTCCACAAGCTATTAAGTTCAAGATGTGAAACCAGCTCAGAGTGAAATGCGATACCTTGACGTACAGCTAATGATGCTAATGGGACTCCTGGCTCAGCGCTGCAGTGCAATAACTCTCTCAGAAGGGTTACAGAGCCAGGCAGCCATCCAATACTACCCCCCCTCCACCCTCTTTCCCCCTCTTACTCAATCTCCATGTTGAGCAGCTCCACCAGGGCAGAGAATGTGCCCACCTCCAGGAGCAGGAAGATATTGTATCTCATCCAGTGCTGCACCTCAGCCTCTGAACAACACTCCCCAAATGTGCCTGGAAAACAAGATATAACATCCTGGCACCAAGATACGGCAATACTACAGTACCATACTACAATAACATACTACAGTACCGCTCAAAGTGCATGACACTTTGACCCACTTCAGATTTAATGACATTGAACTGTAAATTCAGCATCTTTGAAATTGTCCTCAGAGTGATCTGACTAGTTTGAATACACAGCATCTGGTGCTGGCTTGTTTACACAAAAAGGCTTGAAACTCATAAAATCTGAAATGGTTCTAGTGCCCACAGAGTCACTTCCTCAGAGAAGCCGCCATCCAAACTCTATGCATTACACACCTAACACCCTCTCCATTTAAGAAGCAATTGAAGATTTCTAGAGTTAATACCTTTCCTTTTGGAATGTTATGAAGGTGGTGTCTAAAACTAACTGCCTAGGCAAGGCACTGAAGCCAACACGCTGGAATTGTTCAAGAGGCAACTGACTTAGATTTTGGCTAATATTTATACCAGTGATTAAATGAACAAGTTAGGGTAAAATTCCTTCTTTTTGCTTGTAACACAATAATTTCAATATCCAACTCAATGTAAAGAAAATGCCCTTTAGCTTGTGCAATACAGACTCTTTCCCAATTGTATCACACCATAGCAGTCACAGGACAGTCCTTTATGAGGCAGACAGTGCCACAAGCTGCTACTCCTGAGCTATTTGCTGACTTACCCTGAGCCATGTACAGAATAGCTCTGGCTACTTTGAGCCTCTTCTCCCTGGCCGTCACTTCCAGCCCATCCAGGAGCCGCATCGCATGGGCCCTGTGCTGAGTGGCGTCCAGTTCTGTCCATTTCTTATCTGTCACTGAGAAGGCAAAGCATAGAACTGATGACCAGCCTGAAGGACTTCGAGCTCAAAGCCATGTTTATCACTGCATCTGTGAACATTGATTGGATGGGAACCTGTGAACCTGTGTTGGATTCTGATACAATGTTTCACTCCTACTGTATATTAAAATGCTATATTTAAAACCCGTGCTGTATCTATAAAAAATGAGTATTAGACAGTGATATTACAGAAATGATATACAATAAATGCAAAATAATATTAGACACGGTGTATACAGAAATATAAATTGCATGAAAACAGTAATCAAGCAGAGCCTGTGGTGCTGTACATTAACCACTCAACAGATGTTCTCCTTGTTTTAAACCAAAAGTACCATGTGTCCTGAAATCTTCAGTAAAGCACTTCTTGTTGAGCAGAAACTCTGGTCCCTCTGTGTAACTATACAGCTCTAGAAAACAAACCAACAAAAGACACCAATATTGGTTTTGAAAACAAGACAGGGCACAGTGCAATCTAGTGAAAACTGACTCGTGACAAACAAGATCACTGTCCAGTATAACAATCATAAGGAAATAGTAGTCTTAGCTACAGAACAACAGAAGAAAAAAATAAAATACTGCAATTTAAAACATGACTGCTCCAATTTTGTACAAAGGCAATAAAAATATTCTTTAGGAATATTTGTGAAATTAAGCTTCTATATTTTTAAGCACCCAGAAGACAATATATGAAATATCCAACCAACCTGAAAGCTCTGCAGCCCATCTGTCTGTATCAGCATATTCAAACTCTAGATCAGGAGATTCAGAAAAACCCTGGAAAACATGAACACAACTTCTGTCTGACTGTTCAGGATTGCTTTTGTAGCCAAGCAACAACATGTTGTGTGTACAACTCAGTGGCCCCAAACTCCATGCTTCTATTTTCTAACTACTTTATCCAATCACAGATAATGTAGGACAGCTGTCCATCACAGAGCCCCACAGTCACAGGCATAAACATGCACACACTCACACCAGGGCCAATTTTCTCAGAAGCCAGTTATTTTACTGTTAAGTCCATCCAGCCCATTGACTTCTGTTTCACTGTAATCACAAAGCCAGTACTGGGAACAAACCTCCTCCAAGGCAAATCCTCCTGAAACTCTTCATCTGGAAAGAGTCAATTTAAAGCCTCCTAATCCTAAACTAAACCTAACCCGCATTCAGTTAGGAAGCTGGAAGAAATAATGGCACCTGTTGAAAACTCACACAAACACAGGGGCACATGAAATCTCCAGACAGACAGGCACCCATAGCTAGAATCGAACCTTGCCACCCACATTACTCTAAGCATACAGGCGTGTAGTTCTGATCTTAATATAACTAGTGAACAGACTGAGGCTGTGGTTTTGTTACCCAGAATTTTAGATATCAGTGATCAATCCAAGGAAATTGATGAGGGGTTTAGTGTATGGGAGAATGCCGGATACTAAAAATGTACCCCTCAAAAGACTAATTCAGAATAATCTGGCAATGCATCAAATTTGTATTTCCTTCTGTAGAAGCCAACAGGATTATATTTAAGGGGATACACACATCGATGAGGAGGAGCACCAAAACAAGTACAAGGTTCAGGTTGATTACCAATTACAAACCTCAGTCAATGTGGTAACAACAAATTTTAAACATGTCCCAGTAAGAAATCTGAAATCAATAAGCCTGGAGCAAAAAATGAAAAGATAGTGGTAAATGCCTATAGAAATCCCACACGCCAAAGTAAGACTGTGCATGCTCCACATGGAAGATACCCTAGTGCCTCACTAACCTCCATGCCACTCTGCATTTACTTAAGATTATGATTTAACACCATTTTATTGTAGTAGTTGTACAGACCGTGTTTAACGAGTCCATTACTAGCTCCCGGACGTTTTAGATTGGTCCTATGCATTTCGTCATTTTAGACGAAAGTGTCATAATATTGGCAGCACCTCTTTGGCCAAGGTGGGGGGATGTCTTGCCAGATTCAGGGAACATTATATCCCATCTGTCCTCATTTTACTGTGGTACGCGATCTGGCCTTGAAATCCCCCTCCAACCACCGCGACAGCACCGGGTTCCCATGACAACGCCAGTTCCCATCCTTCCTCACCGGCTAGAATGAAACCGGGGATGTGGATTTTTTTTTGCCAAAATCCCCATGATATACACTGCGTTTCAGTCTGTGCTTTTTAAAATCACAACGCCTATTAATTTAGGGATACATTAACAGTATAAAATAATGCCTAGAATGGAAATATTTCAAGGGCGAATACCACCAAGTGGTACAGCAGGAGACGAACTTCTTTCCATTAGTTGCTACGTGTTGCATTAATAACGTCGCTTCTCCGCTTTCTCTTCCCCGCGTTCCCCATTCACACAATAACGACAGAAGATCAGTTCAATATATAAAATGCACACGAAGCTATTGGGTCTTTTTTTAAGGTTCACGCGAGTATTTCTGCTGTATGTACTAAGCGCAACCAAGGCTGTATCCTGTGTATGTTCTTCTTAAGCCAAGAACGTTAAGATAGCTTGTTTTCAAAAACAAATCGCATCGCACCAACACCCCCTCCCTTACCTCCGAGTCCTTTCTCTGATTTCGGATGAATTCGCCCCTGCCTTTGTTGGGTAACATCGCTCGCTGTTTATTGTTGACAACCAACGCTCCGCCAACTCCGACGTCCATCTTTGCTTCCCTGCTACACCCATCCAGCCCCCCTTCCACCGGCAGCCACATATCTCGCGAGAGTCTACTCGCTCACACAACAGGCAGAAGCCTACAAGACAACGAAACATCACGAGATTTCGGCTGAGGAATGCGGATGAGCACGGAACCAGCTGTGTTCTGCTGTTTTAAGGTGTTAATGGAGACGCTGTGAAATACGGACTGGTCCCCTAAAAAAGAGGGGATATTCGTGCTGGCGGTCCTTCTTTTTAGGCAATCATTTGCAATAAGCAGTCCTGACTTACAGGTGCATGATAAAACTTTAACTTTAGTAACTCAATATGGTAATATTCAAAAATCTCAAACAAGAACGTAAGAAAGCTCACATACCAATGGGGCTATTTCTATTTGGCTGCTATGTAATTGATGCCGACTACCTGACGAAGGACCTGAGGTTTTATTTCTCCTGTTCTAAGTCAGAAATATGCACTTCTCATTAGCGTGTGTCTCATGGCCCAGTTTTCACAGCTAACCAATTGGGTTGACTTTACCTTTGCCATAGAGTATTCTGAATAAGGTCCCCTGCAGGTTCAAAGCAGATCTGCCATACGATTGGTTTGTGGAAGTTCTATTCCTTTCTCACTGCAATACACACTCCAGGAATAAACATCTAATCCCACACCTGCCAGAAGCACAGCAGCTATCAATTCTCCTAGGCCAGGGGGAGGAAACACAATAGAGCTGCAGTATAGAGTATGCAATTTCCTGTCCCAGCCTGAGGAGCAGACAGTGACTCTAAATAAGAGCAATGACGTGTTCCTGGGATGACTGTTTCTGGTGGCTTTTGCCTGGTGGCTTTTGCCTGTGTTTGGCCCATATAAGAGAATTAATCAGCAGTGGGTAAAATCCTAAACCTGGAAGTAGGATATGCATGCAGGCTTTCTCCATCTCTCCAAAGCAACAGCACCTCGAGAGCTGGATGGAGTTGTTACATTGGTCCCAAGCCTGTTTTAGATATTCAGAGCTGTGCTGGAATTAAAACTGCTGACACGCCAGGGCTATGGGACCAGTATCGCCCTTCCCTGGGGTTAAATGGTGGGATTTGGGGATGGGAGGAACATTGGAGTAAAAGAACAGGGATACAGAGAGGCTAGGAAGATGGAATAACATACCCACCAACTTTCCCTCACCAAGGAGGGAACTAAAAAAATACCAAAAAACAACATAGCTAAGCTGTTATTTTCCTATTTCCATTCCTGGCAGTGCTGTGCGCACAAGAACGCTGTTTGTAGCAGAACTACTGATCCGACACAGGCTGAATCACTTGAGAAAATGCCTCTACTACCCTTTGAGGTAAGGTACAATTTGGAGGCGAGCCACTATGCATAACCTGCATGTCTTAAGATGCCAAAGTCTCAGAGCATCTCTCCCAAACCCCACCCAGAAAAAAAGAAATTTTCAGACACAGCCTACAACCTAATTCAGGCTGCCTATCGTAGGATGCAAGGCAGGTTGGATCCCCTGGACAGGAGATTCAGCCCATCTATACTGTATGGTAAAACATTTGGACATCTGTCCATCGCAGGGCACACACATTTCCACATTTTACTGACTCTAACCTAACCAGCATGTGTTTTAAGTACTACTACACTAAATCCTCTACAAACACTGGGAAAACATGCAAACTCCAATCAGAAGGTGCCCAAGTATTGAATCAAACCCAGGACTCAAGAGCTGTGAGACATCAGCAATAAACAGCCGCCATTCCACCCTTTCCCTTATACAAACTCCCTACAAACAGTGAACAGCCTGGCACTCCTGATAATAACATTCCAAAGGTTAACACACGACACACTCCAAACATTATTAACCAAATTCCTTTTATTGATGGAAAATAACAATGAAAAAGAGATGTCATCACACATAAGAAGGGCCCAGTCTCACAAAGGGCCTCATAAAGTGAGCTTTTGCTCCACCGCAAAAGTGACAAGAACATTACAATTTTAGATTCAGTGCAGCTGGGAAGATCTGTATTGCATTTACTTACGATTTAACCTCAGAAGTTATATTCCAGTTGTCTGAACTTTGCACTGGTGCAAAATACAAAACGCCTTGCAAGGCAACACTGTAGTGCCAGAACAGGCCTGGAACAAAATAAAAGATACGCAATGGTAAAACAAAGCAGCTCTGTCCTTTTCCTGAGCTCTTATTCTGTACCCAGAAGCTGTAGACAAACCTATATAATACAACTGTGATAAGAGAGGAGCATGTGTTAATGTTCAACTTGTTTGGTTTCGGGGAGGACCCCCACCCCATATAATAAAAATGCATTGGTGGTCATTCTAGGGACGGTGGAGGGGTTTTAGTGTGAAAAACACCAGGAAATAATGGTGTAAAGACCCTTCGTTATACCATAGCAAGGCAACGACTGAGCTTTCATTAAGTACACCAATTATTCAATTATTTAAGGACTGCCAAGATCTCAAAAGCATCACAGAAATGCAAGGAATTATCACTATCTGTAAAACACTGACATTATAAAAAGGACAAGATTACTTAAAGGAAAACTATACACCTTCCATGCTCTCAGATTCTACTTGAGACAGAATTTGAAAACGATGCATCCAAAATATTTTTCTTTAGTACTTAGTACTTTGAGAATCTGAAGGGAGATTGACAAATACTGAAGCTTGTACACTGTGAAGATCAGGTTGCCAAATTTAATAAAAGTTTGAAAGATCATGCCTAGCAAAACTCCTGGCTCCTCTCTGAAACCCAGATCGCAATACGTGCAGTATTATAGTTTGTCACACTCTTTCTCTCAAGTAACATTTTTACTCTGCCAGCGCAGATAAAGGTACAGTGAATGCAGTGAAACCACCAGATCACTCTATGACACACATTTCCAGGAACAGCATAATGTCACACCTCCACCAATATTGATTGCATTTGGCCCAAGCAAAATGATGATCTGAACATTGGAGTAAAAGAATAGGAAAAGGTGAAATGACACATTAAATGGAAACTAAAACATTCTTGTCATTCCAGCCTAAGCAGAAAACTGCAGTCTTCCTTCTAACCCAACTTTAAAGGGACAAGGAAGACAAAAGAAACAGAAATCCTTGTCGAGGCACAAGATCTCCACAAAAAGCTGCTGCCATAGGCTCAGCTCTTTCATGTTTGTTGGAGATGAGTCACCCTAGTGACGTTACAACACTTGAAGGGGAATGTCTCAACTGTATTAATTTCCCACATTCCACACCTTAACATTAATCTCAGATCCAGCAGCCAAAGATAAGAGATATTAAAGATAACAACATTCTATTCTAAATTAAAACATCTTGCAGCACACACAATGATGAGAAGTAGCCAGGTGAAAGGTTATGTTCATAACAGTTTGTGGACCAGTAGGTAGCACTCTTCTCTTTGTATGAAAACGTCCAAGTGTAGAGACCAGGGACACCGGGGCGTAGGGGTGCCAACCTACTGATGAGCTGTTAAACTGAGGTCTTGACTACTTCTGGTCACTTTATAATTGCAGTGAAGCAATTAGCTTCTCTTAACTTCTCAATTGCTTCTCCAAGACTCCCCTGTTGCCTATGCCTAAAAGTAACCCTGCCATTAACCTGGTAAGTCTATAAAACATGTATAAAACAAGTTTAATTATTAAACCAAGTCTTCTAAAATGTATTAGGTTAGTAGACTTAAAAAAATAAGACAGTCAATTCTCTTGTTTGATAAGGTGATGTTTGAAGTCAGACATAAAACTATTATACCAGACCTTTTCTGACACTTACAGTTCTGAGTTTTTATTATTTACTTTTAATACAGGGAAAAATGTCCACAGTTTTCTCCTGCTTTCTGTATTGCTCAACTGGAGATTGTCAAGGGCTGTTTCGTTTTCCGGATGAACAGCACATGACCCTTCCGCCACCCTCTCAAACCTCCACACTTGAGCCATGAATTCCTGCCAAGATGAAGTTGTGTTTTAAAGCTGGCAAGAGACAATGGGGAGTTGGCTCCTGTTCTCGTCTCTGCACTTTGGTCGGGCTGGGGCTGGCCTGTTCAGTCTCTGAGCTGCTCCCCGCTGCGGGGCAACTGTGCGGTGCGCCGTCTCTGCTCCTCAGCAGCCCCCCTGCGCTATCACCTCGTCCTGAACCACGCTCCCCTGCTGAATCGCAGCTGTAGCCAAGCTGATGGCTTCCTCCAGGGTCTGCTGCTCCTCCAGCTGGGCAGACACACAAGACAACGTCATGGATTCATTGGAAAGTCAGGGGAAGGCTTAAAGAGAGTTTTGCGTTTTTTCCCAATGCTCACGAAACAAAAGGTAAAAAGGCTTAGCTCCAGAATGGCTCCACCTTTATACTGGAGGTGCACGCCGACCACAGGTTGCCCTGACATCACCAGTTTAGCTCTGACCTGTGTCATTAACTGGACTGTGACCAGGATTCCCCAAGCAGAGTGGCACGTGTGGCTGATCACTGCCAGGGCTGGGGGAGTTGGAGTCTGTAAAGATTATCCCTCAGCTCGAACACCATGCCACCGCAGGAAAAGGCCACTGGCCTTTTCCATTTGGGAGGGTTCAACACAGATACAATAAGTTTGTAGATTTCTATATACAATTTTGGAATCAACAGTAAAATAAAGAGGACATTTTGCATGGAGACAAATAAATAATCAACATTTACTTCGATTCACATAAAGAAAAGAGTGAGGGATGCGCTGTTTGTGTAAGCAGGGTTTGATACTGCCTTGCTGAATTTGACTGACCTGCACAGCAATCTGTGTGCCGTTTGCTGTGGCCAACAGCGCCACCTGCTGGTAATGAGGGGCAGACAGCTCAGAGGTTCCAGTTATCATGCCATCTGATGTTACTATTGCAACCTGAAAGAGTGAGGTGAGGGGGAAAAAGTTTAAATGCAAATAAAGTGACATCTTCTGGATTTCAAATAACTCAAATCACCTTCTAGAACAATCAATATAATTTTCTATTCATCAATTTTTTAACCACTTCATCCAATCGAGGGTGGTAGGGGAGTAGGAGCCAATCCCGGCAAGCATACAATTTTCTGAAACTACTAAAGACATTTAAAACTTTTAAATGAATGCTGTTAAATGCCAAATGCTTAACTGGTTGCTTGCAGGATATTATCTTCCAGGTATCACAGCAATTTGGTCAATAATGAAACGTGGTTATTGGTTGAAAGGGTATCACTGTTTCTGTTTCAGCGCAATCTTCTCTTGTGCTAGTACTGATAATGTCACTGGTCTTAGACTTCCTGAATTAATACATTCTGGGTGCACACAGAACAAGTAGCAGCAGCTATTATTATAAACCTTTAACCATCTTAGGATGCAGTGATCTTACTGTGTCATTAGATATTCAGGAAAATACCTACTTGACAACAAACATCTTAACTAAGATTTCTACACAGTTAAAAAGAAAAAGAGCAAAACTGTGACAAAGCCAGTTCCTTTTTTTACTCTGTTATGATTTGTTGTCTTATAAAGCTTTACCACATATAGCTGCTGGTCATTGGACAATAGAATTCACATACCGGCTGTGCTTCCGTGCCATCTGCCGAAACCATGGTTACAGTGTGAGGCCCTGAACCTGTGATGTCACCATCATGCGTTGGGACTGTGATGGTGGTGCCGTCCTGTGTTACCATGGTGATGGCTGTGCCCAGGGCCTGCAGCTCTTCATGGGAAAGGCTAACCTGCATATCAAGTCAAAGCAGAGGTCAAGGCCTACACATTTCGCACTGGGGACAACAAGCATTAGCAACACAGATAACATGACAGACAGACATGGTACAGAGAGCACAGAATCATTATTAATTATTTGAAAGCACCTTACGCCTGGTAATGATCGCAGCAAATTAGAGCCTATTCTGGACACACAGACCAGGTGGGGCTACTTCCTTAATAGGACCTCGGTCTATCACAGTGCCATACACATGACAATTTACAGAAACCAATTAACCTAGCCGGTTTGTGTTTGGAAGATGGGTGAAAAGCACATCACTTGGAGGAAAACGGAGACCGGGGACAATATGTTAGCTGCCCCAGGCTAGAATCGAACGCAGGACCCAAGACCACTGAGTCTTAGTGTTTTGATTCTAAAATACTGTGATATTTATCAGTTTCCTGATACTTTAAGACCTTCTGGATATTTCCATCTTCTAGAGAGAAACTTCACTTTGGAATTACACAAGAACTAGTATGTATAGGTTCAGCAAGTTTAGACATTGTTTTTTTGGAAAACCTTTTGAATTGTAAGTTTAAAAAACATTAATAAAAACTTGAGGACTGCAGTTTATTTGCACAACGATGCAACTTGTTAACCAAAGGCTTCTATCGCCCAATTTGGATCATTGGTACTAAAAGAACTCCAAATCCTCCATCTGTCTCCCCAACACTCCTACCTGTTGAGTCCCGTCTGGAGTGATGAGAGCAACCTGAGACCCAATGACATCATGTGCAACCATGGTAACCTGAGAAGAGACAGTTCTGCCACCATCCTCTGCCTCTCCCTCTTCGTCACCTTCCTCCCCCTCCAGAAAGGCAACTCTTGGCTGTTTGCTTGGAGGCTCCAAGACTTCTCCCTCTGTGTCTGTGGAGCCCAGAAAAACAGACAAACAGGATCAGACTGAGCTGGAAAGACACACTTAACCAGCCACACCAGAACTGAACCCAGAGTCCCAGAGCTTTGAGGCAGCAATGCTAACCACTGCAGCATCGTGTTGTCCATCCCATGTGACATGCAAAAAGTTCACTTTGAAATGGCAATGGTAGTATGCAATGTAAAAAGATGTTCTTGCTTATCACTTCCTGTTGAAAATTGGAGCATATTGTAGACTGAATAGATGTTACTATTACAGTTACCTAACTGACAAATTGCTATACACTTAATCATATTTTTTTCTATACCATGCAAGCGCATTAAAAAAAGCTTGTGAAAGCACAGCTCTGTCTGTGACAGTAATACTCCACCTGTGCCATGCTGCTCAAAGAGGGCCTGCTCGGTCTCCTCCGTGGCGTCGAAGTCTCCATGCGTGGTGCGCTTGTGCATGGCCAGTGTGGAGGTCTGCCGGTAGGTCTTGCCACAGTGGTTGCAAGAGTAGGGCTTGCAGTGCGTGTGGACCACATGGTGCTTGTACAGGCTTGAGTACTCGGTGAACCGCTTCCCACAGCCTGGTACTGTGCACACATAGGGCTTCTCACCTGGAAGCACAGACAGGGGACAGACATCTTTAGAGTTGCAGGTGGGTTTTGTTTCTTAGGTTGTGTCACTGGGGTGTAGCATCTGTTCCGCCTCCAGCACTCTTGCTGCCTGTAGTGTTGCGGAGTTACTGCAGTGCATTCAAAGCACTGAGAAAGGTTTACCATGGTTATTTATGTAGCTAAGGTTCTAAGACAAGAAACCTACAGAAGAAAATCAGAAATAGAACAGGAAGCCAGGTACACAAAATGAGTACCCTCTGTCAATTTTCTTTAGAAATCTTATTTTCTTTAGAACGCTGAAAAGTACTTCTTTCTACTGCTGCTTCTTAAAAAATGAGATTTTTGCTGATATTCTCATATAACTAACAGAAGAACAGAAACATAACGTTCCAGCTGTGGAGCCTTCTTGGTGTTCTTCTTCACACCTGAAGAAGGCTCCACAGCGTTTCTTTTTCTTCTCTTTTCAGCATGGAATAAACCTTTACTTGTTCCTTGGCAGCCTACGCATGCTGACGCAGCTTTTTACTTTAACTAACAGAAGTGCTTTCGAAATGCCGTCCACTGTCCATTTTCTGCACTTTAGTTTTATAATCCTCCCTAAGAGCATTCTGTTGAGCGACAGTTTTTAACCACAGAGGGACAGCCTCATGGACACCGACAGCTGCCACCCTGCCGATGGAGGATGGAGGCCTGGACGGGAGACAACCAGCGTGACTTTCAACAACAATTATGCCAATGCAGTTGCAGCACGGTTATGCCACAACGGTGCCAGTTAACTGCTTCGTGTTGATAAATGTACTGCAAGTCAGGGTACTTGTCAGGTGTCCCTTCAGCACACCCTCTAATACAGGGCTCTGTATTAGACCAGCTGTGTCCCGTGACCCTGCACGCACCTGTATGGATCCTCATGTGGTTCTTGTAGTTCGTGGCACTGGCGAAGCCTCTTCCGCAGCCCGGCTCGGAGCACATGTAGGGGCGCTCCCCGGTGTGGGTGCGGATGTGCACCTTGCGGATGTTGGACGTGGTGAAGGAGCGCCCGCAGCCCTCGAACGGGCACTTGAACGGCCGCTCGCCTGGGAAGGGCGAAAGAACACACAAGCCATTACAATGGCGCAGGGCCCTGCCCTCCCTTCACAGAGGACGGCTGTGCCCTTCTTCACCATACCTGCAGAGCCGACACACCTACATCAACGCGAGTCCAGCCCCCAGGCCCCCGTGGCTGGTTTGTTCTTCCAGGTATGCGGAAAAAATGTGTGTGGGGATCTGTTCCTCTTAAAAATGAAGTCTTGGACAAACAATTTCTTCCCAGATGGAAGAAAACAACTGATAAAAACAGCATACAGTTTACGTGGATTCAGCTTTCCACTTATGGAAATGATGACCAACACCATCCTCCTAAAAACAATGTTGCACTGTGCCTTCTGTAGCTGAGGGAAGCCAGTGGGCACGCCAAACTGGCTGAAGAGCAGTGCAAGTAGGATCTGTCTCTGGGGAAGTTCCAGCAGAGTTTCCCTGCAGAGGACTGGAGTACCTGTGTGTGTGCGAATGTGTTTCTGGAGGTCCCCGGATGTCTTGAAGGCCTTGGAACACATGTCCTCAGGACATTTATAGGGCTTCTCTCCTGTGTGCGTCCGGACATGGCTCTTCAGCCCGTAGCCTGTGGCAAAGGCCTTCCCACATGACTGGACATCACATCGGTAGGGCCGATCTCCAGTGTGAGCTCTTTCATGAACCTAATAACAACAATAATCGGAATAATCATCGTCATTAGCAGCAGCAGCAGAGGCACTGTGAAATCCAATTAAACATTTGCAATACGTAAGCATTTGGTAAAAAAGTAAAATTATTTACCAAACCACAAACCTAGTATTCTAGTTTCTAGGTTACATATTTTTAGACAGACAACCAATTTTAAACTTCTCTCAAAGATAATCAGACCTTACTTCAGCCAGTAGCACTCAGGTAATGTTCATCACTTAAGTGATTCATGGTTACAAGTTTTGCTGTTCTTGTTATTAAAATTATTTTATGATTTTATCATTCTCCATCATCATCATTATTATCCATTTATGCAGAGTCCAACTGCTCATTTTGGCAATTTTAACTCAGATATTAAACTGAATCTGGGGTTTAATGAAGTACTTAAAACAAAAAAACATTATGTGCCCAATGAGCTACTAATGTAAAACAGGCTCACATGTTCAATGTGTGTCATCATATAGATGTTTTTAAGATATTACAGTATGTCACAAACCAAACAATCATATTACTTCACAGTGAACGTTGTAAAGAATGCGCCAGTTCTGGACAATCTTCACGGCCACTTTAGACACAGGGAAACTGTAAAACACGCAGGACCTTCAGGTGGTGTGCAGTAGTGTACAGCCGCCCACAGCCCTCGTAGTCACAGCGGAAACACTTCTCCCCACTCTGCTGAGCCTTCCCCAAGCTCCGCGGCTCCCCCTCCAACAGCACCTGGAGGCAACAACGGAGCTCCTGTCACGGCCGGACACTGCGGTCTGCACTCCCAGTGGCCAGGGAGACAAGAGCCTAATCCGTCACGCTGGCCAGGGCAGGACAGTCGTTGAAGTGCGACGCTGCTTTTTTTATTACCTTGAGCCGACTAACTGATTTTAATACCGTTTGTAGAATAGGAATATTGTCCCTTTAAAATGCAAAATGCACATTTGAGGATGGAGGTCATGGTCAGAGAGCAGCTCTAGGGTGGGTGCGAACAGAACTCAGTCAGAGCGACAGGGTGGACAGACCAGGGATTGGGACAGCAAGCAACAGAGAGGCCCAGTGCACTCCCAGCCCTCTGTACTGTACCTGGACTGTGGCATGCTCCTCAACGGAGTCCATCTCCTGCAGCCCATTGGTGCTGCTCATGGTCTCGTCCACATCTGACTCGCACATCTGCACAGGAAAGAAAAAAAACAGGGGAGCGTTAATCTTCAATCCCACCTCTGTAGTTGAGGACTGGATTATTGCAGTTACTAATCTCACATCCTATCAAATAAACGTCTCTGCACAGCACCTCCGTGTATTCTCAAGACCTGAAAGAGCAGGCACTGAAAAGTAACATTACGTGGCGACTGGGTTGTAAAGGTGCAGGAAAAACCAACTGTGCAGGGGCGCCAAACCATTCAAGAGAGTAGAGCAGCCCAGCTCGACTCCCTTTGCCCTCTGACCTTGGCAGCATACTGCTCCAGAGAAGCGATGGAAGGGTCTACTGCTGCTTCCTCAGCTGTCATCTCCTCCAGATCGCCCTCTGCCTGCACAGCCAGAATGGTGCTGCCTGCCTGGATGGCCACGGGGTGGTGGATGTAGGCCGTGCTGCCATCCTCCAGCTGCACAGCCTCCACTGCACTGGGGTCGTAGCCATCTAGGGAGGAGGGAAGACAGCAGGTGTCACACTTCCCTACATTAATATGGGGAACTAGTGTAACCCCTTGAGTTTCATGTGTGTCACCAAGGAACATAATTTATGCAACCTGTGCTAAACAGTGCATCTAACTGTTTGGAAATTAAAAAGCAAACTGTTTTATTATGCACAGTTTTGATTCATGCAGGTCCTCTTCATTCACAAAATACCTTTAATGTTCTACAGCAGTTCTAAACTTCAGAGATGCTGCATCTTCTGGTTTTTAATCCAACTTGGTTCTTAATCACTGGATCTTTTTGGCCCTCCATCTTTGGTCTTAAAAATAACATATATTATTTCTTGCTGTATGCTTGAGAAAAGTACTTTACCCAGATTGCTCCAGCAGTTCAGCTGGTCTTAAAATCTGTATAAAACGAACAGCTGATGGTAACCTCAGATGTGCTCTATTAAAAGCTTCAACCAAAATAACACCAAATTACATGGTGCTGACAGATGGCTCCACAGACTTACAGAGAGTTAAATTTAAACCTCAGACCTACCTTTGGGGGTGTGGTGAATGTAGGCTGTGTTTCCATCTTCCAGCTGGATCACCTGGCCATCTTCAAAAGACATGGTCTCTGAAAGGGGATAGAAACCCGTCAAGACACATTACTCAGAGAGTCGTATGACAGGCGAGGAAAAACTAGAGTAGAAGGTTTTTGCTAAGGGCTCTGCTCTTAGCGTCACAGCCTCCACTGTGGGATGAATCTCTCCTCCAATGGGCACTAAACCTCCTTCTGTGACGTGTTAAAAGACAAACGACACAAAGCCAGGCAGGTAAGAGGAGTCTGCCCACACTTAATCATGATCCTCCCTGATGAAGCTACAGTTGCAGAATCACAGTCATCAACCAAGAAGAAAAAAACAACTGGTGATTTTAGGCAGGTATATGTAAAATAAAAAGGCCTTTTGGAATGGCAGCATCTGAAATCAGCAGAGCAGCTCTGATCAGCCTGAGACTATACCGAACATTGTAATAACATGCTTGGGATTATAGAGAACACTCTCTTTTTCTAGTCTAAGAGACTTGTACAATGGAAACATACAATACCATGTCATGAACAAACCCCTTTCCTTTTACACTACATAAACATTCATCCATCTGTTAACACAGATTAACGCTTACTCTTATGAGGGCCACAGTTGCCTGTAACCTATCCCAGAAACATACATACAGTCCATCGCAGGGTACACACAGGGTACACACAAAGACAATTACACGGACAATTACACCATTTAACCTACACAGCATCTTTGCAACGTTTAGTCCCCAACTGAACCACAGACCGAGAGCGCAGAGGCAGCCACAGTAAATACCATATAGAAACTAAACTTCAGAAATAAAACATTCTCTTACACTGCTGCCTGTGCCAGTATGAGCCTGGCTCATACAAAATGTGCAAGGGACACACAAACAGGGCTCAGATGAGTCACAGAGCTCATTTTCTTCTTTATCAAACAGCTGGGGTCTTCTGCTATGGTGAAGAAATAACTTGATGATTAAGGCACGGGTTATTCTGACATGGGTGAGCTGGCGTTAAACAGCAGGTAGTTATGACATGTAGAGCTGAGCGCAGGTCCCCTCCCCGAGGTTGTGCAACACGCAACCAATTTTAGGTTCACCAAGCAGCCTGGCTGATCGCAATCTGCAAAAAGCCGCAGGACTTCCTGACCACAGACATCTACTGAGAGGCATGGCTCAGCCCACTGTGCATGCGCCTTGCAGAACATCACGCTACACCAAGGCAACAGACACTCACCAAGTGTGAAGCTAACTGAACACATTGTGAGAGAATCTGAGAGCAACTCTTTGAGTAACAACTGCACATCTCTTCATTTTTCAACACAAGCGAGCTTGCATATTCCTCTTCAACAGAGGGGGGTGTCTTACATGAAAAGATCATTTTGGCATTAAAGCAAAACCCATTCTAGAAATCTCAGATTGAAAACACCTTATTTTTCAAAGCTGGTAGGTGCTTTTACTAAGGGTAATGGTGGACCAACATCATAGTTAAAGCAAAAAAAGTAAAATAAGGACATCGTATAATAGATTTCAAAACAAAAAGGTTTAATCACAGTTTATTTTGAAGGTAAGATATAAATTAATTGTAGGTCATCTTCATTCTTGTTTAACAAAAATAAATAGTGTTACTCATTACTGAATCTTTTACCACTTTCTGAAAATCACGCACCAGTGGAGTGTGTTCTGGTGATAGCTTGACTTAACTGAGCCAACTTAACTGAACCTTTAAAATCTTAATTTTCTCTGACCAAGAGGGCACCCGATACAAATATTCAACATCCTCAAATGATAATGACAACCTAGTGTCGTTCTTCCGATTTAACACTGAAACACTGCAATATGGAAATGCCTCTAAAAGCTGGTACAGGAGGGAGTTTTTACCCAAAGGGTTGTGGGAGTGTGGAACAAACTGCCCAGCCACGTGGTTGAAGCCAATACTCTGGTTTCTTTCAAGTTACAGATATTTGATATCCTCAGATCAATGTAGCTGCTGTCAAACAGCTTAGATGGGCTGAATGACCTCAACTTGTTTGTAACTTTTCTTGTGTTAATAAATTCTGCAGAGAAATACTGTGCATTTGTCGCTCTGTAGGAGCAGGAATACAGACTCATGCACAGGTGGCTCTGTGCAGTCTCACCTTTCTGCTGCACAGTGACCTGCTGGATGTACGCAGTGGTCCCATCTTCCAGCTGGATGGTGTCTCCTTCTATCAGCTTCCCGTCTGGAGGAAAAACACAGAAGGAAAACTGCAGACTCTTGAGACACTGAAGCCTGAGCTCAACTTCATCTTTTTCAGCATGTATATTACTATGTGAAGGATGTTATCAGGCAATCCCATATGCCCTAACTTTAGCTAATTAACTGCATTAAAAAATAACCTCTGGGAAAAACAGACCAAATGAAGCATTTCACTTTCACAAGGCTACCACTCAATCCCAAGAGTGATTCTATGCAAACCTAGTATGTTTGACTTGTTAAACACTACATGCACGCACAGAGAAAAGCTACAGGCAGGCACAGCAAACAAAAAATGCATAATTGCATTTTTACCCTCCTTTAAAAACCAATTCTCACACTTTGAAATAACAGGAATATAATATTGTCAAACGGGTAGCTGCATAAGATCTAAAGGAACAGGTAAAGAAAAAAAGAGAACAATTTGGCTGTGGAACCTTTTTCAGCATTCCGCAAGATGTTTCCTTTTAGCACAGAATAAACCTTTAGTTGTTCCTATGTATGTATAAATGCTGATCATCTCTATTGTGAGTGTCTTGTGAATTCCTCCCAGTCCCCTGTGGTTTACCTTTGATGGCTTGGTGAATGTAAGCAGTGGAGCCATCACTGAGCGTCACAGCCTGTAGTCCTAGACTCTCCATCCTTCACCTGTGGACCAGCAACAGAACTGCTTTTCATTCAGGCTTCACACCAGAAATCTTGCAAAGCTAAAAATACTCCCCCTAAGGCACTAAATTTCAATTAAAATATTTTTGTCAACGAATGCTGTCATCCCTCTCAGCAGGGCAGACTTTTAAAGAGCTTAACTTCAATAAAAAGCAGGCAGGGGAAAATGTATCACAATAACAACAGGGCTGTTATTTTAAACTTCCGAGCTCATTTAGGGGAATCGTTGCTCACTTTATTAAGAAAAGTGCACCTAGATGTAAGGAGCTATACTGTACACAGGGTCACGTGCAACTATTTAATATATGCCAGGTTTAGTATTTTGAGCAGAGTAACTAAAGTGTAAATCTCAACATTCTTTGCTGAAGAGAAGGGGGTTCTCAGTTTCTGGAAAAATACTCTTGGTATAGTATCATATGTATTTTGCCATCAAAATTTGATATGGCATTTTACCAAAACCCTGTGTAATACTACTACAAGCAGAAGATTGACCCCTCCCCCTCCTCCAATAATATAAACACTAGTAACAGAATACAGCCTGGGTCGTAACCACATTTTAAATGTAGAAGACTGTATTCCATATGGTTACATGTGCTACACTGCTTAAGATTGATAGTTAAAAAAAGCTGTTTTCGCAGTGTCTCTAACAATGTTTTTAACGTAATAAGCACTCTCCCTTGGATTTAATCTTGAATGCACCCCACGTTACAGACTTATCTGAAATGTCCATACATTTCATGTAACTTTGAGCACGTTTAAGGTGATTGACTACAGTTTCTTGATCGTAGCGAAGAACAAACAGAGCTACACTGCGCTCTGGAAAAGGGGGTTTACTAGCTGCAGTTTGCAGGATGTGTTGTGATTTGGAAACGGGCGGGAGACGATTGAGAGCTGTACTATACCGGGACTTGTCGTGCACGTGCCTGACAATTTGTACTTCTGAGTTTGGAGGCAAAACATACTTAACCAATATAACAAAACATCAATTTTATCTTTTTACACTCAAGTTAAATCACAATCTAAAAAAATTCAATTCAGTTCCGTAAGCAATCCGTTCAAATGCGACTTCACTTAAGATAAACGTTACTGAATTAAATTAACTGAATTTACAAATTAAAATAATTTATCCCGGATTTCCCGTGCTGTCTTCAGTAAAAACGCACCACGGAAATGTGAAAAAGCTACCCCCCATTCGTATATTAACATGTCTTTTACGACAGATATTTGTTTACATTATTTCCTGGGGAGACGGGGTACCTAGTATAAATTATTTCCTTCAGACAACACTGTTGACAAATGTATTTCTCTGTGCCGATATGTGGAGAAGAAAACCTTTTGATACCTCTGCCTGCCTCTCCGGCCCGGCAAAGCAGAGGCGAGAGACATAAACAGGCCGGAGCTACCATACTGCATTTGTTTAAAGGCGAAACTCCCACCCGTCTGCGCAACCCCCTTCTCCGCTCTCGCGGCCGTAATGCCGCTCTAAGACCCCGGGTGTTAACCGTTTTTCGGATCTGCTTAAAGGCCGAACAACCCCAACACCCTGCTGCCTCTCTGAGAAACCCTACCAACTCTCCCCCATTTTCCTATCCCATCTCTCCCTCCGCTCGTAGTAGCTGCAGCGCAAACTGGGATACTCACCTCCAGCAGCCCGCCATGCACCAGGAGCGAGGGCCCGGGAACCTGCATAAGTACCGCCTAATGTTTCAGGGAGAAATGGTAGCGTATGGTGCTATTCAGGTTCCTGGGGAGAGCCTCGCTACGTTCTGTTCTATAGCGCGCCTCTAGCGCCGGAACATGAATATACATATATGAATGTACTTCAACATAATCTAGTGTTTTCCTTTATGCTTGCTCCGGGTGGACTACCCTGAATATAAGTATATAGAGACGAATTTCAAGCGAGTTCGATAGTTAGCAGTTCGTGTCTTTTTTGTACCCCCACAATGGAGCATTACAGATCGTAAACCCAGAATGACCTGGAAAAAGCCTTTACATACATTTTATGTCAAATACACAAACTAAACTTCATTAGTGTTAATAATGATTTTCGCTCTCGTTGTTTACAGCATATGAAATGTAAATAATTGGTCTATTGGTCTATATAACTAAAATACAAACATTTCCTCTTGTGGCTATAATTCCGATTTAGTGTCTGTTAAGTGTATTTCCAGGATTTAGGAGGCGAGACGTGGTCTTGATGAGGTGTTTTCAAATTTTTTCACTCTTGTAAACTGCTGTTATCTAGGATTGCCACCTTTGAAATTCTAAACAATGGCTGCCTTAGAATAGAGGAGGGTCCTTGGGGCTAGCCCTTAGAACACATGTATATCAGAGATGTTACAAGCGATAGGCCATTCAACGCACCTGGCCTGTTTGGTAGGGATTGGCTCATTCAAGGACCTCATCCAGCTATTTCTTTAAGTAAACCAGAGTATCTACTTGAACGACATGGCTGGGTATCCTGTTCTGTACTCTCACAACTCATTGGGTTCAAGAAGTGACTCCTGTTCTCAGTTTTAAATGAGCTTCTACTGGAGCAGCCTGGGGCTCAAGGCTATCCAGTTTCTTTGGTGAAAAAAACTTTGTCCATTGTTTGCTGGTCATCCAGCAAAGTGTAAAGAAAAATGAGACCACTCTTAGGTGTGAAGCAGTATAAAAGCCAGCCCATTCGTTCCTCTTATCAGACAAAGAGAGGCGGTTTTAACAGAAGTAAAGGCCTACAAGAGTTTTTTTTTTTAAATAAATGTAAAGTTTTTAATGGTCATACATTATGCATCATCATTGCATTTTATAAAGCCCTTGTCATTTCTGTTACATCAAGTATTTAAATTACACTGGGTAAGCAGCAATTGGCAAATGAACGTAAGGTTTTAGAAGCAGGTAATTGAACATTTTGGCCGTTTCTGTGGGTTATCACAAAACTCATAGTAGAGCTTGTGAGGTATGATCACCATTATCAGTCGCTAGCACGTCTTTGTTCTTAATGCATAAAAGGGCATTATAAGACCTCAAAATACTTATGTCAAGTTATAAAACCCATATAAACACACAAAGTTTATACAAAACAGTCTCAAACATTGTACAATGAAGTCTTTTACAAGAGGAACAAAAGATGCCAGGAGCCGTATCACCATGCAACTCACAACTGACAATCCACTGAAGCTCAGCAGGTGTGTTCCTGGTCAGTACCTGGATGGGAGACCTCCTGGGAAAAACTAAGGTTCCTGCTGGAAAAGGTGTTAGTGGGACCAGTAGGGGGGCGCTCCCTGCAGTCTGTGTGGGTTCTAATGCCCCAGTATAGTGACGGAGACACTATACTGTAAAAAGGCGCCGTCCTTCAGATGAGATGTAAAACTGAGGTCCTGACTCTCTGTGGTCATTTAAAAAAGAAAATCCCAGGGTGTTTCTTGAAAAGAGTAGGGGGTGTAACCCTGGCATTTAAAATAGATTTTTAAAGCTTCCCCACTGGCCCTTACCAACACCATGGCCTCCTAATAATCCCCATCTACGAACTGGCTTCATCACTCTGTTCTGCTCCCCACTGAGAGCTGATGTGTGGTGAGCGTTCTGGCGCACTATGGGAGCCGTTGCATCATCCAGGTGGGGCTGCACATTGGTGGTGTTGGAGTGGAGTCCCCATTACCTGTAAAGTGCTTTGAGTGGAGTGTCCAGAAAAGCACTATATACTGTAAATGTGAAAACAATTATTATTATTAAAAGACTACAAACACCAGTGTAACAAAGCATTCAAACATTTGTCAAGATGTATTTAGAAGTTTACGATTGTGAAATAGAAAGACCATCCCATTCTGCAGAGGAGGAAAACACAAGCTTCAAGTTGGGAGGATTGACAGACTGCAGTCACGTCGAAGGGTGTGGAAACAATGTGTGGACCCCATGCTGTATGCAGAAAACACCAGTTTGGAGTATACGTCAATGCACTTTCACATTAATTCCATTAGTAGGTTTATATAAAGGAACCCATAACCCCAGGAGAGAAAGCCCGGTTTTAACACAGATCATGGCTGCAAGGATAATGTACAAGTGCACAGTTACTCTAACACAAGCCAGCAGCCATGGTCCCAGTGAGCCACAGTGTTTTCCCATTTTCATTCCAGTTCTGAATGATTTAATTGCATCAATCAGCAGTTTCTTTAGGACAAGTCAACAGTTTCCAGGCCTCTGCACAATGAGTATCTAAGCATGCTTATAAAGCCTTATATAGATCTGCAGGACTATAGCTCTCTGCGTTGCAGGCTCCTGTTTTTACCTCCAGAAATAAAAGAATGGATCTGACTCTGATGAAGGATTATTTCAACACCAAGATGAAATTAGCCAAAAAAAAAACAATATATAAACCTAGAGCCACACACAATTTCTTCTATAGAAGGCATTTTCAGTTTTCCTTACATTGCACTATTTTTATCAGGTACCCCTGAGATGTAAGATTATGAAGTTAAGAGAATACATTTCTTTAGACAATCAATACATTATCAGTATTTATCTCTTCAGCAGATGAGCAATAAAAAATAAATAAAAATATAAAAATAATACAAATATAGATTTTTTATTTATATAAAAGAAGAAATGACAAAAGATCTTATTCTGTGTAATGCAAACACATAGCTTTTAAAGCCAGGGTCCTCAAATCCTGAGTTTGTACACCACAGATCTCCAACTCTGGTCCTGGACAGCCACAATCCATCAGCTTATATGGGTCACCATTAAATCACCGATTTCTGTTTTGTTCCACCTGTTTTCTCAGTTTCATGTTAGGTCTAATTAAATAACTGCATAATTGTAATACTTCTTACTAGGCTCTGAAGCTAATTTATATGTAGGTAACCATACCTTTAATGACGTGAAGGTCTTGTGTAATCTGTTGTTAAATACCTTAAGGAAAACCTATATACAGCATGTCCAATTTGGAAAGTGATTAGGTAAATTGTTTAATTAACTTCTCAGGTTGGAACATATACCAAAAGACAGACGAGCCCCCATAAAGTGAGTCTGATACACCACTGGCCTACAGGGTACATTTGCAGATATTCTCATCTAGCTATGCTGTAAATCAGCACAACTGCCAGTAGTCACTATTCTTCATTCCTTTCCCTTCAAAGAAGCCAAGATTGGATTTTGACTTGTTCTTTAACAGTCTATGAATTTAAGCTCTTGATTTCTGATCAATTTGCCCTTTTTTATCCCGATGCATAGAAATTTGCCAGTAGCACACAAATTGTGACGTTTATACTGTTCTGTGTATCTACTCAGGCAGATAATTTTCATCTCTGTTGCACACATTCACACCAGACATTTAGCCTATATTCAGCATTTTACTCATTCTGTCCCTGGCCTGGGTGATGTGTGATGAGACCAGTAATGTCTTCTAGAGCTCAAGCCCCACAGTTCAGCACTCACAGGAGATTCAGCAGCTTCAGTTGGTGTGGCTGATCTGCACCTCTGTCTGTAGAAGACTCATGGCCCAGCTGGCCAGCTGCCATATTGTTGATTCTGCTTTTGTCTCATGCCTGCTTTTGCATGACATTTTTTGACACAGCAGTCCTGAGAGCTGGTCTGTGTCTATGACCAGGAGGCTTGTGTTGTGTTTAGTACCTTTGTGCATGCACGCCAGGCACTCATGCCCAGTGGACCTGAGCGCCTCCTGAGGTAGGTCTTTTGGGATCCAACACAGCCAGCCCATGCAGACAGTCATTGATCTCCTTCAGCCTCTGCTCCTCCAGGAAGGTGACTAGCTCATTCCTCTCATCCACGACTTTTAGCATCTCTTCCAGCACCATTTCCTCCTTGGCCTTCTGCTGCGGAGTCTTCACTGAGTCTGAAACACACACACACACACACACACACACACACACACACACACACACACCAGGAATTACAAGCTTATGGTTGATCTTAGAGTGAGCACCCTTGTTTGTGTGCACTTTTGCCTTGTTTAAAGTTGTCAAGATAAAAGGGCCATGAAGAGGATCAAAACACAAATAAGAACTTAAGCATTAAAGAGTGCAAAAAAAGAGATGCCAATTGAGGCAAGTAATCCAATTAGTGCTTTAATAATTTAACCTTATCTGTCCAATTAACCCAGCTTCTAAAATAATTTAAAATGAATAACCTGCTGGAAAGCAGTCAGGCAAATGGGCCACTTTAGGATCTACAGTGAAGCAAGGAACCAAGGACACAATGAAAGTATATTTGGGAGCGGAAACCAGATGCGCAACTGTACACTATTAGTATCATCAGTGTTCTGATGATACCCAACACTGCTGGTCAAGAAGACTTCCCTGTAGTCTTGGAAGAAACAGCTGGATGAGGTCTTTAGCTCCATTGGCTACTAATGACTAAAGAAGAACAAGACCAAGTCCTCATCTGTGACCTTTCCCATATCTTAAACCATAGGTTTTAAATCCCTCCTGTGATATGAAAAAAAAATTCTAAAGGGGGAAATTTACAGGATGATTAATTACTTCAGAAAGCCCATTAGCTTAGAATTGTTTTTAGGAACATAATAGTGCTGGTAATGCACTGGAATAAAGAAAAGTAAACAGATGGAGATCACTTTCCTTCCAGACTGTGTTAACAGAGGACAGTGAGGCTATACCCATCTCTGTAGATCAGAATGGGGTAGAGGTGGCATGAGTACTGTAACGTACCACTCATCTCAATGTAACTGCGAAACTCCTTTTCAAGCCTGCTCTGCTTGTCCTCCAGCTCCAGCTGCCGAGACCTTGAGAGGGGCAGAAGAAATCGCATCTTGTTAATACAGGATGATTAAGACACTCAAGGATTCACACGCATTTCTAAAAATAACTTGCAGAACTCTAGATTTAGAAGAGTTATCTATAGTCCCACACCAAACAATTTCAGTGTTTTTTCTTGGAAACCTTATAAAAATCATTAATTTCCTTATATTCGCTCCTATCCATGGTTATTCCTTAACCAGTATCAATTCAACTTGTGTAGCAACTTTTATCAATTAAATCCTGCTGAATTAACAAAAACAGCCCTTGTCCAGCAATCACTTTGAGCAGATTAAAGTTCAGAACTTTGCAACTGGACAAGCAGTTTAACAGCCCTGCTGAAGTTGAAAGATTCTGACATGCCTTCAGTTCTTTACACGTGCACTTAAAATTGAAACTGTACTGTAACTGAACTACTGGGAACCAAAATCATTGTTATAGCACAGCAGGATTTTGGTTGTCCTTAGTGGCCTTCTAATACGGTTTTGGGTTCAAGACCGTTTTAAGTTTTGGAGAAAGCAGGCTGTACTCACGCCACCATGAGATCTGACTCCTCTGAGACCAGTGCATTCTTTTCATGGACCAGCTGGATCCACTTATTCAGTATCTCTGGGGACCCATCAGAGCCTGTGCAAAGGGAAGGGTGGGGATAGTCAATAGTCAGTTTCAAGGAGCCAGAATTCCTTTCCATTGTCATTTTTATTTTTTCCTTATTGCTGGAGGTGTTCTAGAACACAGCACTGTTAGCATCAACTAATGACAACAGCACTGGTCCACAGCATCAGTAAAGACCTTCCTGCATTGCTTAAGAGTTCCTGCAGTTGTGCGGTGCAGCACTGATGAAGCTTTAAATCGTCTCAATCCAGCACATCCTTACCAATTTCTCCTCGCAGAGTCCTCTCCAAGACAATACCCTTCTCCTCCAGCTCTTTGAACGTCACCTCAATTTCCTCTAGGCGGCGCTGTATGGACTGTGAGAAAGAGGAACTGTCAGGGAAGATTGTTTATGAGGGGTCAAACACCACTATTTAAAAAAAAAAAGGTCACTTCTTTTCCTTTCTATTTGCAACTTTTCACAAAGGATGCAAATATATAGTCAAGATCTATGCCATGTGTAAAAATGTTTTTACATTACACCACGTTTCTGCAGCTGAGAAATCAATCAAATTCTGCAAGGTGTACACCTTGATAAATATATAGGATAGGTTTTTTGTCTGTAAAACACATGGTCAGTGATGGCAGAGCGCAGGCTGACCTGGGCCCTGTGGAACCTCTGCAGCTCACACATCTTGGCGTGTCTCTCGAGGGTTCTCATCTTCAGCAGCTCCAGCTTCTCAGCCTCCAGAGGGTCAGAAGGGATTCTCTGAAACTGGAGAGGGTGGGGCTTTGGTCACCATTGGTAGATTAACACAAACCCTTTTTTGTTTTTACCTCGGTTTTACCGAGGTAAACCACAAACATTTATAAGCTTATCCTTTCAGCACTGTTTTTTACTCTATATGTTGTTCATAGTCTGGAAATGCTTAAGATGCAACAAAGTCATATAAGTGATAAAACATCACAGTTAGGAGCGGATAATCAAGAGACAATGTTATCATCAGAAGTCAGTCCTGATGGTTACAGGCAGCAATGGAAATGATCTCAGGATATTCAGATCCAAACATACTCAATGTACAATCACCCTGTTAAGCTAATGCACATGGTTATTTAATGAAAACAACCATGGTGGTCTCAGTTGGAATTGGAAGATATATACATTTCACATACATATGCAAATGTATGCATACATATGCAAAAAAAGGCATACGTTTTATTTCAATAAATCAGTATTGCATACCCGTTCATCATACAGCGGGTCAAAATCAGCATCACCGGTACATACGTCATCATCTTCCTCATCATCATCTTCTGACTGGTAGAAGTCAGTTTCTTGGGTAACTGTGGGTTACAAATGCAATATGGTTTATCATATTACATAGTTAATATTACATATTTAACAACCCTCAGGAGAGGGTTAACTTAAGGTGCAATTAATATGACTATTATGCCAATAATTCTGTGCCCTCTTACCTAAGGTTCTGTCCCCGACCATAGTTTCTTGGATTTGGGAGAACTTGGGTGTGCTTTGGGGGCTGGGAGTGACTTGGGTTTCCACTGGGGCCTGTGCAGTCTGTTCCTCTTTTCTCCTGAAAGACTTCCTGTTGGAGTGATCCCTGATGCCACCCCCCAGCCCACTCCAATGGCCTGATTCTCCTGCAGGCTGATCTGGTGCCAGGAGGTCAGGAGTATCCTCGGAATCACCTCCTGGTTGAGGTTCAGAAGGATTCTGGTCCTCAAAGTCGACGCTGAAACTCAGCCTGGTTAACCGCATCTTCTCTTCCTCAGTCAGCTGCAGTTTCTTCAGGGTGGGTGCGTCGTGCCTCTCAGCATTCTCCGATTCTGGGCCATCTTTAAACAGGGGAGGCCCTGGAGGGTTTTCCATTGTAGTTTCTTTCGAGGAGCTTTGGCCTCCATGATCAACCTCACAGGATTCAATCAACATGGGAATGCTACCCTCACCACTGTGATCAGCCTCCCAGGCCTCAATACATTTGTCCTCGTTTTGAATGCTTTCCCTTTCGTTGTGGGTTACCTCTAATGAGGGGACGGCTGGCTTTCTCAGTACCAAGGTTCTTGGTTTTGGTACTGGTGGACCTGTACTATCAAGATCGGTCCTGGTTAAACTAGTTTCTTCAACAAGTCCCCCACTCCCTGTGATAGTGGCTTGTGACCTGAGCCGTGAAGTCCTGACAGCAGGCACAGGACGCTGGGTAGCAGAACCATCTTCCTTTGGCCCATCTGTAGAACTCATTACAGCCACAGCAGAGACAGTGACACTGCCACCAGCGTCAGCATGCTCCCCTTCCCCAGCTCTTACAGGACACTGGTCCTCAGGTAAGGAGTCCACAGGAGGTTTTGTTACAGGGAAATGTACGATTTCAGGGTGGTTTGTAACATCGTAATCTCTGCGTGGAGGCATGCAAATTATTTCAGTTTGATGTTCTCTATCGCTTCTATCCACAGTCTGTGAGTCGGGCTGCCTGTGATCTACACAATCCTAGAGTAAAAAGGAAATAAATGGGTTATCCTGGGAAAATGCCCTGATGTTTGATGAAATATCTGCTAACTCACAGGTCCTACATCCAATGTGCTCCGTAATTCTGAAATTAAGCAAGAAGATAAAATAGCTAGTTGTGGCAGGATTATAATGAGATGGACTGGTAGGTTTGGCAGTTGATAACTTCTATTATGCAGCATAATGAGTTCTCTTCACTGCAACTGTGAAACATGAAATGGCCACTCACATTTGCAAAATCACTTCCTTAATTATATCTTATTTTTAAATCTTCATCACAGTAATTTAAAAGAATATACAATATAATCCACATTTTTTTTCACATGATTGCCTTTGGCTTTCTTAAATCACTGTAAAAGATTTTTAGCATTCCACCAATTTTAGATTGCATTTTGAAAGGGTTTATTTGATGTGAAGGCAATGTGCTGGCACATGCGTTTTCCAAGAAGCAATATCTCAGACCGATTTCATTCAGACCACTGAAAATGCTGTACCTGGGTGTCTGCAGGCTCTCGTTCGCTGTCCAGCGGCCAATCCTCAGAGTGCTGCATACAGAAGAACTCGCCTAACAGGAGAAAGAAGACACCAACAATCTAATTTAACGAAGTTTTTACATTTATATCCATGACATGCCACAAAAGACATCTTATTCTTCATCGACCCCTCCTCCCAACACAAACATGTTTATATTCCTAGTGACAACTTGTGGACTCTTACCAATTTCTCTACACTATTGAAAACTTCGGTCAACTTAAACTTTCTACAGAGGGTGAAAATTATTTGTATTTGTAACCGACTTCCAATAATATGCCATGAGGCTTGTCTCCGTCTCTACGTTGAGGTAATGCCCTGAAGCGAGCACACTCTCAAGCTTACCAGTTTGGTTGTCGAAGGAGTAGCTGCCCAGGCGCAGAGTGACGCCGCACTGTTTGCAGCAGAAGCAGCTGCGATGGAAGAACTTGCCCTCGGCGCTGACCCGCTCCAGCACGTAGACGCGGTCACCACAGAAATAGCACACCTCACTGGATCCAAGGCCTCCTGGACTGACTGGGCTGAGCTGCAGGAACACAAGAGGAGCTGCTGGACTGGGCCCACAGACCAGCTGGGCCAAAGAGCACATTCACTCGTGCTTTCTGGAATTCTTACTTCTTTCCCTTGTTCAACTCTAAAAATAACTTGCTTTCTTCTAACCTTTCTTTGCCCCACAACAAACTAACTTTATTATGTTTATTACCCTGTGTACAGATATAACATGCTTCGACAATGCTTATTCCTAACGCAACATGCTTATTCCTTTCTGTGCACTTAATTCCGTTGTGTGGCCCTGAAGCTCAAGCTGCCCAAGACGGACATCCATCAGGCACTGAGGGTGCTACCATGAGAAGCAGGGGTTTAGAGAACAATTTTTAAGGTTCAGTTGCAATGACAGTCACCCGTGAAAACCTAAACAGCACTGAAGTTTCTTGCACCAAGAGTCTTCACTGTCCAGGATGTGGTGCTGTGTCGCTCTGAAGCTGGAGTTTCCCCACGATCGATTTGCACACAGCACTGAATAACTGGATTCATCTAAACAGAGTAAGATGGCAATAAATAGTAATACCAATAAAAAAATCTGTCCCAACATACTTTGGCTTTCTTCTCCGTTATCTTTGCGTTCTCCTTCTCCTCTTTTTCAGCGGCCATTTTCTGCTGCATTAGACAAAAAGAAAAAACGTCACAAATTTTCTTTCTGTGTAGGTCAAATATTTCTGACAGTCTTCGATTTTATGATATTCTTTTTAGCTGCTCAAGTTTGTTTTAAAGTATTTTTATGCATATGGCACAACTAGAAGTGCTTTTCAAAACAAGAACAGGAAGCACTACTTTACCCAAAGGGTTGTGCGACTAGTTACTCAGCCAAGTTACAGACAATAATACTCTGGCTTCGTTAAAAAATGGCTGGATTTGATCCTTGGAACAATTACCTACTAACTACAAATTTACTAGAAGGGCCGAATGGCCTCTCGGTCCTCAACTTTCTAAGTTCTGGATTCCCTAATGTGAAAACTCTGAAACAAACCCGTGCCAGATAAAATATCCATTCTTACCTTGCGTCTCTGTAGCGAGTTGTGCTTGAGTTTGCTCAGGAACAAGATGGCGGACTTGGCGCTGGAGAGGGAGATGGGCTTCGTCGCTGGGAGGATTTTATTGTCCTCTGAATCCAGGAGACACAATAAGAATAGCTGGGTCTCAGGTCCGCCTGTGTCTTGACATGACTACCTGGACCCCCAGCTGGAAAATGCTGCCTGGTAACTGAACACGTCAGCTTTCCTTTCTACATTAAGTAGCTGATGACTTAAAGCTGCTGATAAAACACAGACCTGGAGTTTGGCATTTTTAGAGCTGTTTGTTATTCTGTATCTATATGTTAAAAACACATACACAGCAATAAAAATTAAGATTGAACTAAACTTCACAGACTTAGTTAAGATCTGAAAAAGTGTTAGAAGTACACACCCATGGTATTACCTGATAATCACTTTAGAGAATTCAGCTGAAGTCCCCCAGCCGAGCTGTAACTACTGCAAACTTTAGGGTTTCCCAGTGTGATTTCTGATCTTAAATTCATGGCATTGTCACAATTTCTCTTTGAAAAACTCTAAATGAATTGTAGGTTCCAGACGTGGAACAACACAACAGGCTTGGTTAACAAAGACACTAAATTTTCTTCCTTGTAAAAATGCAGGCACATTGAAGCACCTCAAGGGGCAGTCTGGTTTTAGACGCCAGACAGCTTTTACCACAAAAACAGCCCCACCTCTTTACCTATACTGACATATAGGAATCAAAAACAAATAACAATAAAAACTGCAATATATAATTATAATCAGGACATTATCATTTCTTTTTGGATTCAAGAAATCAGAAATCAGAGAGCTCTTATCTACAGTGTAGAACATAAGAGAGTGTGCTGTTATCTAGTGGGGTGTGGACATAATGCTGTTCTCAGTGTTCTCGGTCATGTCAAGACACCACTCTGAGTTACTTAAACGCACCCTTTTCTGGCTTCAGACATGTCAACATATTGCTGCTGTAAGTAGTGTTGGCTGTCCAGTAGGTGGTGCTCTTCCTTTTGGACCAGAATGGTTTCAAAGCAGTGCCCTAGCATGGTGGTCAGGGCCACTGTGCTGTTGGATTCTTAGGATGAGATGGCAAACTAAGGTTATGATTACTTGCTCATTTAAAATCACATGACAACATTCACTACAGTAGGGGGTATTAACCCAAGTGTTTCGGTTAAATTCCACCCTGGACTTGCATATTCTGCCCAGCCTGGAGTTTCCCCTTTATTGAATTGGTGCAGCGATTTCTCACTCCACCCCCTGATCTGCAGGTGCAGAATGGCTGCACATTGATAGTGGATGAAGTGGGTCCCCTCCTATATCCAAAGCACTTGAGGATACAAACCACTATATAAATTATATAATATTTATATAATGATATACATTATTACTACGTTTCTTAATCAGCTTATGGGATTTCTTAACGGGCTAAAGATTGGCCTAGTACGGACCTGGGGGTGTCGCTGTCTCCCGGAAGGCGTTATAGAACTCGGTCAGGTAGAGCACCATGGCCAGCTTGTCGGGATGGCTCTTGGCCGCCATGTCAGTCCCGGACATGATGGGCGTGATGCCAAGCTCTCTCTGCGCCACGTCGAATGCCAGCTGGTTGTTATAGGCGATGTTAGCTTCACCCAGTGAAGCAAAGTCACTGAAACGGGACAGGGAGGGGCCATCAGCCAAACCACTCCTAGAAGCAAGAACTGCAGCACCTCGGCTGCAACTGCGCAGCGTGACCCCATCGAGACAAGCCAGTTGTGGTGCGGTTGTGAGCTCAAAATCAAAAATCAGCGTATGCCACTTTCTATCAGGTGTTCACCGCATTCAGACAATACTGTTCGTTTACTACAGTACATCTAAAACTAAATTAAATGGAAAATGAAACAAGCAACACCCCTTGGGGAGGGTATAGGAATAGAATTTTTGTTCATTACACACAAAATTCCCCCCCATAAGAGTTTCAAAGCATTAGGGCAGTGCCAGCAAACCTATGCCTGACATCCCACTGGTTTTACAGATAGGTGCCAGTAGGCGTGGCACTCTGTACTCACATGAGATCAGGTCGGAAGTGGTGTATGAGGGCACAGAGAGCGAGCCCGGACCTCCAGGAAAGCGTCAGGTCCATCACTTTTACATTCTTGTACCCAGCTGTGTGCTGCTGGCACCAGATCAGCAGCTCCTCGTACCCACCTACTGAGTCTGTGGGGTAAAAGAACTGGGTGTCAGAGGGGGCACTCATAAACAGCATGGATACACCACTTCCATCATTCTCTCCTACATTACTCCTATATTAGGCCCATCATTTTATAATGGCTGAACCATGGCGGATATTAGATGTGTACAACTCACACCGAGCACAAAATCAGACCAACACAAAAAAAAATTCCAATCCCAGTTAAGATAGTGGGCTGCAGACAAGTCAGATTTGCATGCATTGAAGTAATTAGAAATTACTGAAGATGCTGATCGGGCAAAGCCTTGCTGATGAAAGAACTGTTTTCACAAAGGTACTGGCAATATATAGGCATGCAGGATCAATTACTGGAGCGTACAGTGCCGGGTCTTGTTTTGGTTGGCATAAAAAAAAAAACTTTCTAAACGTAGGCACTCGGGTTAACTGTTTATGCACAGCCCTCAGGGCAACGCAGAGATCTACGATAAACTAAGCATCTAAAGCCTAAACGGTTATGCAGATTTGGGCTTGCTGGAGTAACTTGTACTGTAAATACAACACCAGAGATCAGGATCACATATTCTGGACCATTTGACCTGGATCAGAAATGGCAGAGGTGTGCATATGCGCCGTGACCTCTGGAGTGAAGTGAGAGGAGGAAAGGGGCGTTTTCTGACCCTGCCGTGTGTGCTGTGGCCTCTCCTGATTCCTGCTGGCCCTGTGTCCATCCAGCTGATCTTCCACATCACACAGGTGTCGCACCTGAGACAGAAACAAACAGCTGAGGGGAAACAAAATAAAACCACCTCCACCATGTGGAAGGAGTGTCCGAACGAGTTTGTCCTGTACAACTCTGATAAAAACTGTGTTTCAGACTACAGAAAGCAATATGAAAGTTAAACTACGAGGACACACCAAATCGAGAGATGTCATACTAAATCTAGCAGCTGCCTTTAATTTTACAATCATTCTTGTTATATAGCATAACACACTTGGGGAAAAATGGAAGAGCATTCCATTTTAAAACAAATAACATAACTTAAAGCAATGCATTAATATATGGTTTATGAATTTTTAATAATCTAAAATTAGACCAGAATAAATAGGTTTTGACCTACCTTTTAAAACATTATTTTGTGTTTTAATGTCTTAAATGGTTAAAAATGACATTTGGAAATGCATCTCATTTTCCCCCCCACCTTGGCAAAAACGGTCAAACTGCATATTCTTAATGTGTTAATACTAAAATAAAATAAAAACAGACTGTCAACTTTTCAGCTTTTTCCATGACCAGACACTGACCTGGCTGGGCTTAATGGAGCCGAGGTTGATGTTGGGGTAGCGAGTGGTGGGGTCGATGCTGTAAGCACTGTAGTTCTTGCTGGTGTTCTCTGGGGTGGTCTGAGATAATAGCTGGTAGAGACTCTCCCTGTCAATTCAATACAGCAGTAAAGAAACTTTACTTTCTGTGCAAGTGGGGAGCTTTGTCAGGGGGTTTGCTGAGAAGGGAACAAGCAGAGATTAATTCCACACTGAAAATTAGAAATAAAAAATGGGAACTTTACAGTTGAGTTGAAAACGATACTTGAAGAGACTCAACCAAAATGTTGTGTTTTTTTCTTTTTGCTTTTCAGTGTTCAATTAACCTCTACTTGTTCCTTGGCATTTTCTATTGCTCATAGTACAAGTAGCACTGGGCAAAGAATAATGTGAACACTATACATTTTAATTCAAAAATAAATTAAAAACTACTTTAAAATAAACATAGCAAGTGCTCTAAATTGGAGGTGGTGTTGGAATTCTAGTAAAGCACTCTGCATTAGAATTCCCTTCTTTCCTCTTATTAGCTCTCCTGTCTTCCGGGAAATCTCCCTCCGTGTCTTTGGCTCACATTTACTAGGGCTCCTGTGACACATTGGGATGAAGTGCCTGAACCTGGAGAACGCACACATTATAAGTCTGGATAACAAGGGATCTGCTTTCCTGTATGAAGGAGTTATTGTGCATCTACAATGAATATCCTGTATATCTTGCTTGTGCTTCATTGGCATTCATCATGAATGAAGTTGAAATTGGGTGGTACCACAGCAGCATCTTTCAGCCTGCCCCACGCCTCTCCCACTCCCCAGGACTATAAAGTGGTGGTTACCGTTCAGCCAGGACTTCCAAAGGGGGGGTTCCCTTTCCCCAGCGTTTCACCATCCAAGCAGCATCAAAGGCAGCCAGGAACCCACGGGCAATGCCTGTGCCTAGGGGCCAAAAAGGCTGCAAGCGGACAGGGAGAAACAGCATCAAACAGAGCCGTAACCATGACTGACACATTCTCCCCAGGCAGGACATTCGGTGGCCAGGCAGAGGAAATGAGGGGATAGTTATAGCTCTGAGGTGTAAAAGAGGTGTTAAGAATACAGTACATTCACATTCTCCTAATTATAACTTAGAAATGCATTGCAATAAGCAAGGGGACAAGCTATTCAGTCAGTCATACTGATCTGGCTCCATTTTAGACACCTAACAGGCACTGGTCACACAGGAATAAACCCCCTGGATATGGACAATAGCCAATCAAACCTAACCTGCATAGCTCCAGGATTTGGGAGGGAACTGCAGGGCCCAGTGAAAAGCTACAATTACACACATACAGGAGACCAAAGCCAGAGCCAAACCCAGTATCCTTGAGCTAGAGTACCTCCATCACAGTCACACAGGCAGTAAGGGCTTAAAAACGGACAAAGGGGGTACCTCAATTTCTACACCAGTGTTCCCATCATCTCCTGACCACTTTTAATTCAAAAGTAAGTTATTCAAATTACTCGGCTAGAAGCTGAGCTGCTCCATTTCAGCCCAGCTCCGAAATCCTAAATGTTGTCAATGCCTGGCTTCTTCTCTGGAGTACTGACTGTCCAGTTCCGCACTTCCTGCGACGCACCTCGACAAGGCAGTCTCCCACCAGGCAGATCAGCAGCCTGCTGCCACCCCTCTCCCGCACCAGCGAGGCAGCCTCGGCCCGGAACATGCAGGTGAAGTCGAACATGGCGACGTCTGGCTGCCGGGCATGGTTCAGCGCGAACTCCAGCCCGGGCAGCTGTCGGTTGGTGGAGAAGTGTGCAGCCTCGTACGCATAGTGCCTCAGGGCCTCGGCGTTCACGTTCTGAGGGGAGAGCAGCTTCTCAGCATCGCTGTGGTCCTGGTTTGGGGAGAGGAGGAGTTAGCCATAGCAGCAGCAGAAGTGATTAGAAAGCTTCCGCAAAATTCTGTTTAAGGCAGATGGCAAACAAGCAAACAAGAACCACGGCACAAAATTTGTGCTGTGTGAACTCAAGCTAAATCTTCAACCCCTGTTGAAGAAGAAAGGGTGTGAATTTTGCTCTGAAACGAAAAGCCTTGATCATCATCATGTTGCGTTTCTCAAATGCTTACCAGCATTGTCTCAGTTTACCCATCTTGCATCTGAACGCCAGAATGTTTACAAGAAAGGAAACTTACTAAAAACCACCATACAAACATCTGTGAATGATATAATCCATGTTTTTAAGCAATCTGTTCCATTTTATTTAAAGAAAATACTAATAAACCAATCCATCACAGACACAAACCGAGCAAAACATAGCAAGCGTTAATCTAATACAAGTAACAGTAAATAACAGACCCCACAACCATGTTTTAAGAAACATTCTAGTCTCCTCACCGCACAGCAGTATTTGAGAGGAAGCACTGCTTAGACTTTCTCCTGTTCTGAGAAACCCCACATTCATGGCGTTCATCATGTTTCCATGACAATGTCGTTTTACAAGTTCTTCTTTAGAAAACTTGCCTTGTCTTACAGAACAGAATGCAAAGCCAGAGTGTATACAGAGCTCTGCATTGGCCCAGAAAGAGGCTCTGTAATGCCCAGAGCTGTGCCATTAACAAGGATTATTCCTGGTTAATCCCTCTGAACTGCTTCATCAGACACTAACACCTGGCACAGAACAGAGTGGGCCTGTTTTAGATTGTTCAGGAGTTGGGCTCACTCTGCTTAGAATTATAAATCACATCTTTCAATTGCTTTCATGAGGCAAAATGCACAATGGAGCAATACTGATCAAATAAAGTGCAGAAAGACAGCAGTAACTGAAATGTACTGATGAAGAATAAAAGGTATTTTTAAGAGGGCTGTAACTTTCTATGTCTGTGCAGGGTGACTCTTGTGAAGGGTTGCACGCCAGAGTCTGCAAACCATTAAACACTGCTGTGCCAGGGGGTCTTCTTTTTTCCTTGTACCGGTCATCTGAGACAGTGCTGCACCATGCCAGGCAGGTTATTTCCACCTACACTGTGAAATCTGCAGCACAAACAGCAGTGCTTTGGTGCTATCTGGAGGACAGTCACAGCCCTTGAAAGTGGTCACACAGTTACAATCAACTCTACCCCACCTAGTCAAGGCACTACAAAGCCGACTGTGCATCACCCTCTGGCACAGCCTGTATAATACAGGGCATACAAGCCATTAAAACCCTTAACCACCTTTTAGCTTTTTACCTCTTCAAAACATGTAGACATTTTCAAAATACCAATTTCTCTTTCAAATTCCCCAGGTTAGAAAATACTCTCTCACCTGCTTAATGACCCCTTTGCTCAGAAGGCTCTTCTTCTTGGCTGTCATGACAAAATAGTGGGTATCGTCTTTGTAGTAAACGATGTTTTCTAGATCGATGCCTGGATTTTGTGGGTTTGAAAAGAGGGAAAGCAGCCTCAGTCTGTTGCACACAGTATGACTTGACATTTTCCCCCAGATTTCTGCTAAGACGGCTGAACCCTGAAGCCAGAAGTGCCAAATAAAACCTCCTTTTTCCCTCAAATGATTCTAATGCACCTCACTACATGCGCCCTTCTTCAGTCACCTGTGCCTGTGTGGGTGTGTACCTTCTCAGACGGTACAAACCCAGGAGCTTTGGCACAAATGCGTTTGCTTAAATGTTGAAAAATTGCTTTGGACGTTCTTTATGCTACGAGTCAAAGTGCCCTTCTTTTCTACCTCAGTCTGCCAATTGATGTATTTACATATATTAACAGCTTTCGTTCTAAAAAAAAGTTTCATGACTTCCTTTAAATCTAACCTACCAACGCCGACTAAAAAAAGTAAAAATACTTTTCCATGTAAAGATACAGTGGTAAGACTGAAAAACAATAGGTTTGTCCCTTAGGTAGTAAGAGGTGTTGCGAGCTTACCCGTCTCATTGTGGAGGCTCTGGAAGAATTTCTGGTTGTAGATCCGTGCCACGCCGCTGATCTCAGACACCTGTGCCTCTTCGGCAGTGTGGTGGTTGACGAAGTTGGCCGTGATACCGATCGCCAGCTTCCCGCGCATCTCCTTCCTCTTGAACCCTGGAGGGGAGTAGGACAGGACCATCAGCAGCAGCAACACAGTCGCCGACTGACGAAAGAAAAAGTGTGTGTGTATGGGGGAGGGGGGGGGTTGTAAATAAAAAAGAAGCAAAAAAGAAAGGGATGAATGAAAGGAAAAAAGCTGGTTACCTTTAGGGACAAAGCGGCCACCTCCTGCAGAGATGAAGACATCAAAGTGAAACTGCCTGACTGGGTGGGAAGCCGGAAGCACGTCTGCTCGCCAGCCTGCTTTCAAGCAGGAGAGGAAATGGGGTCAATACAGACATGCATGATACTCCCGTAATCTACAGATGACCCTAGATATGGACTGAGAGGCGGGAAGGAGAGAAAGGAAGAGGAGAAGCAAAACCAAAGATTCTTTCCAGTACACAAAGCAGCTCCCAGTGACTTCAGTGGAAGTGTGCTGTCCCGGAGCCCCAAATCTTCAGATCTGCTGGCAGTGCAGGCTGAGATTAAGTGCACCGAGGTCAGGTGGGGAGGTCAAATACCACTCCTGCTCAGTTTGGTTGAGTGACAGTAAACCCTGACCTGTGATCCCTTACCTGTGGCCCCCTGCGAGTCTATCAGGTGGGGCTCGATGAGGCCCTTATAGTCCACACATGTATGCACCTCCACCCCGAGGATCAGGGCCACCTTTAGTAGGATGAGCTGCAGCTGACGAATACCTACAGGGAGCAGCATGCATGCAAACTGGATCAGGCCAGGCAAGCACATACACTTTTTGGTATATATCCCAACAGCCATAAGGAGCTCAGCAAATGAGTACAAGGAATAAAAAAAGATTTATTGCCATTTTAATGCTGCTTAGTATAATTACTTCAGAAATTCAACATGAATTTGCAACTCTTTCATCTTGCATGGCTTCATGATCACAAATTCTAAGCCAATCCATGACATGACTCAGACACTTGGGTAAAAGAGCATGCACTTACTCCGATGCCACTTTAAATACTGCAGTTGGGATTCAACTGTGATTTTTTTTTGGATTTTGGAAAAAGGGAATATTCTAATCGGGCTAAACAGCATGTATCTTTGTGCAGTGGGCGACACAAGCTTCAGCCTTTCATCAGGATGGTAAAGAATTCTGTTAAGCAAGATGGGGTGCATTCAGTACTATCAGGAATGCAATGGAGTGACACCAAGTTCTTTAACAGACTCAATACCACTGTGCTCTGATGCATTTCTTCTAAAGAAACCAAGAGGTTTCACTTTGCTTAACCTGTCAAGGAGACTTGCGTGCATCAAAACCCAACTTACTTATGTGGTCCAGGGTGCCAGAACAGAACTTGCCGTAGAACTTCTTGGCAGCCAGGCCCCGCAGGTCATGGATGGTGTAAGGCCAGAGGTGAAGCACGTTGTTTCGGGAAAAGGTATCCCGCTTCTCAATCAGAACCACCTTGGCGCCCAGGAACGCCAGCTCAATCGCCGTGCGCAGGCCACAGGGTCCAGCCCCCAGCACTAAACACTGAAACCGAAAAAGCTGTTAACAGTCATTTCCAGCTTTACCAGTCTAGAACCTTGAAGAATCGACCTGAACTTGGGCAAGGAAAACTAATTTATTAAATGTATTAAAGAGCAAAAGTAGAAAGAAAATCCTCCTAAATCACAGCAGCCACTGCGATAGATGAGTAGAGAGAGAAGAGAGAAGGTGCCAACCCCCACACCTAAGACACAATCACTAACCCTGTTCTTGACACAGGCCTGTCCCTGCTGGTAGTCTGGGTGTTCTGCCCTCTTGTCCAGTTTGGTCCATATTGCCTTGGCTTTCCAGTAGTTCAGCCTGTCCTTCAGCTTGGAGTAGAAGTGGCGGTAGTCGTGGGGGTCAACCTCTAGGTGGCGACAGAGTTCGGCAAAGGAGGCCAGCACATCTTTGCAGCGCTGTGCGTTGGTGAAGCGGTCAAAGAGGCAGTGGGATGGATTCTGGGATTCTTGGGGGGCCATGGCTACTGTGGAGCTAAAACTCCACCAAACCAGGGATGAGATTTTCTCCTGAGAAAGGACAGGACACCAAAAGGATGTTCACTCTTCTATTTGCTTCTGCTTTCTGAAGCAACTTGCTAAACTCATTACATCTCCGTGAGGATGTGGCATTCAGGAATTTGTATCTTCATTTCCATTAGTGGTGCACTACACTGGTGTGAGAAACAAGTACAGAAATAATATACATTTTACAGGGATAATCGGTCCATACTTTAAACTATAACATTAAATTATTCCCAACATTGCTGAAAATGTAAGTCTTTTTCAGGTTCCTGACTATTTCATGTGCTCTTCATTAATACAGGACTAAGTATTAAACTGATTAGAAATGAGACCAACACCACTACATGTTGCAATCTCTTCCCTTCAAACAAGCTGAAGAAAATAATTTTGCGTTTACTAAAATGGAACAGAGAAATCCCTTTAGGAGGACAAATATCAATCAACTCTGGATTTGACTACACAAAGGAGAAATAGACCTTTCACTAGTTCCCATGCAAAACCCAGTTCACAAAGACACCCTAAACTGAAAACTGTCATCAAGTGTCTGGTTAAAGTCTCTCAGGACACAATATCTCCAGGTCTGTCCCCTGAACTTTGCAAACTTCTTTTTAAGCAGCTGCACTTTCCACAACTGACCCACGTTGACCACGCAGTGACCAGACAGAGTCACTGCATTTCTTTTTGTCTCTTCATCACTAAATAATCTTTCATTTCTAAAATAAATTTCATCTCAACGAGTGACTAAAAGAAGATGAGATAAGGTGGCTGTTTCACTATTTCAACAGGGGTTGCAAAGTCAGTGAGCAATAATTTGTGCAATCAGAATTTCGGCTAAAAGAAAACACTTGTAAGAGACTTAAGTCTTATAGTGTTGCGAGACAGAAATTACAGCCTCTTAAGATTCCATGGTTTTACATATTATGAGATATCTGACCTTCACCAAGTCCTAACAGCAGTTAAATCTAAACTCAAGTGACAGATAACGCACACAAATTTTACTTTGTCATTATTATTAAATAACAATCGGAAGCGTTGTGTGAAAAAGTAAGGGCACCGCATAATTCAGTCAAATGTGGAACCCCCTTTAGCAGCAATAACTGCACTTTATGTACTTTCCTTACTTCTGAAGCGTTTTCTTTAAAGGAGTTTGCATCACAGAGAGCTAAATGAAAAGGAGTCATTTAGTGCTGACAACAATTTGACCATGCTGATGATAATGTGGTAGAAAATAATTCCTTATAAGGATAAAACACAGTTGGCTGCTGTTCAGTGTTAGCTGATCGGTGGAGATCCACAGGCAATTAAGGTTAAATCAATTAGCTAATCAACTTGAAATTGATCTGGAAGCTGCCTTGCTCCCGTGGCTTGCTAGGTTCGACTCCAGCTCCCCCAAGGACCTGACGTGGAAGATGCTGTTAAAAAATGCATGACATTTTTTTTCAGAAAAAACAGAAGTAGAGTCCAGGGCAATAATGATCAAGAGTCGAGAAGATCCAGGTTCCAGTAGTGACCAGAGCCATCACCAAAAAGTGCTCAACGGCTCAAAACTATTGCAGGACAGGAAGGGAAAAGAACACATATTCAATACGTCCTCGTCAAACCACTCTGGATGTGTTATTTGATGTCTATACATCATTTAACATGCATCAGTTAGAAATCCTCTGTCCTTTTTAACCTCCAAATTAATATAGATTTTCCTTTTCCACTGTCACACAGACTTTGCTAAATTTCAGCAGTTACAAAAAAGGGAAATGGTTATAATCGTCAGGCCGATCTATTTTTATACACAGTGTGAAACAAAACTACAAATGTAGGCACAGGTCTGCTCATCTGTGATTGTGCTCCTTGCTGCCATCAAGAGGAGTGAGTTCTGAAGCAATCATCTTCTGCCACTCACTGGGACAGCATTCTCCTCCAGGGATTGCCAGTACTGGTCCCGGAGGCCCACACACCTGCGGGATGTCACTGACAGATTGAACTAACAAGTTTCTTACTGCAAACTTATTTACTTATTTGCACATCGCTTTGCTACTCAAAAGTTTATTACACTCATAAAACACAATAGTTAAAAGAAAGCCTTCCATTTCAAGATTAAGAGTTGAAAACAGTCACACACCTCAAATTAATTCTCTTGCCAAATCAATTAAGGGGTGAAGGTCTCTTGGCTGGGACTAACACCAGCAGGCGAGTGGGCGAGTTCTACAGAACCACAACTGCCTGGCTTGGCAGGAAAAAGCTGGTAACCCAGACGCACTTGGTCTTTTGACAGTTTGACACGTACTCACACAGGAACAGCACTGTCTCTCGAGAAGCACAGCAAGTCTTCCTGCAAACGTGCAAAGTGTGAAGAAAGGCGAAGGGGGATGTAAAATGAATGGAGATGTGCAAACATGGGGCCGATAGACACATTAAAAGAGCCAATTGTACAGATTCACTTTCCTTTTAGCTGCTATTCAGGGAGTTTCTTATTCATACAGTCTACCAGCTTTCCTATGAGCGTGGGACATCTGATGTCTTCTGCTCCTCGTTCTTTGGTGCTTTGGTGTCTAAACTGGAAATTACAGTCCTGCGCCAACACGTTTTGCTTATTTGCTAATTCAGGTTTGGAGCTTTCATGGGTCAGGACAATACATATACACCTGATCTGAAAGTGAGAACAAGAAAAAATACTGCCTAGAAAAACCTCCCTAACATTCAAATATCGATGAGCTTCACGTGAAATAAGCAGAACTGGGCAAAGCAGATCCTGTCGAACAGCTTAAGATCACAGCTGATGTGCAGTCTCCACGTACTGCATAGACGTGAGGAACACAGCTGGTATACAGCAGGGTCGAAGTCCTTAAAGAGGCAAGGCCAATTTCATCTGCTCTGCACACATCCTGTAGTTAATCCACAGCTGTCCCGTGAATTCCTCTCAAAAGCAGCCCTTAGCTTTCACGGGATTAGCAATATTCATTGAAATTAAGGTAAGAGATGAAAACAATTGTTATTGTGATCTTTTGCAATGCTTGATGGTTGCAATAAAACTGGCAAGATGCCTGCTGCATCCTGTCAGCCAAGTCCTATTACAAGTAGGTGTAACTTCTGCAAACATGCTCACTGAGAAAAGGTGAAGTAACTCCACTCATTTCTGGCTCTACAGTGCAGTGTTAGTAATAAGCACCTGATAAAACAGACTAGTATGTAAGGGCGGCATCTTTAAATCATCACATGAAAAAAACCTCAGTGAACATACTGCAACAAAAAACAGATGGTTCTTAAAAACAAGTATTAGTCAGCACTCCTATATATCACTGACTTCCTAGACCACTTGTTTCATTCTTAAACTTACAGAGAACCTCCCTACAGCCCACTCTTATGCACAAAATTCAGTTCTGAAATCCACAGTTTTTGATAGATCACACCATCTTTCAAGGGGAGAGGATGGCATAGCAAATTAGTGCAATGAGGGCATAGCAAATTAAGTACCTAATGCACAAAACTCCATTAAGGCACAGGGCTGTAGGCTTCATAAAGAGAAACAGACTTTTGTGTTTGCAGCATTGATATTTATTTTTTACATATTTGATGAGGCAAGCAGCTGTCTGTGCAAGCACACAGTTGCCTAAACTAAGCCACTGTTCTCAGACATCCAGAATTAGAGTCTGACGAAATCTACAGCGTGCAGCACTCTGAAGCGATTGAGCCGGATCTGACAGACTAAGTGCAGTAAATGAGAGGGTGCCTGGGTGAGTAATGAGCTCACATACTGTAGCTCTTTCCTTTGTCCCCTCAGGCTGTCAGATCATGAGCTTATTATTTGTCGTGTCGCCCAGAACAAATTACATGCACGTCTTTGCATCACAAATTCCTATTTCAGAAAAAAAGCAAGCCAGTTCGTTGCTTGCCTATAACTGTATCCTCACTATCTAATCTTAAGAAGCGCATTTTGTTCTTTAGTACCTCAAAGTACCGTCAATCGTAAACAAGCATGAACGTGCACCACCATGAATACAAACAACAGCCCCTAAAGGGTTTTTCCACAAGCCAGTGGCAGCTGGTAAGACTGACACATGGAACAACTGCTCTTTTGTTAACTTCAACTCTACATCGGAAACGTTTCTCTTCTAACGGAGGCCAGCCAGCACCCTGGTCACTAAAATTCACAGATGTGGTTAGCGAGGCCACTTTGCTCACAGTGCCACTCCAAGGTTTCTGTAATCTCAAATCTTTTGTGAAAGGAAGCAGATCTGTGCTTAGAATACGTAATTACCAAGACAAAGACAAAACAGGCAGTGGAACAGGACTCAGACTGGCTGAGAAGATGAGCTTTAACTTACGTTCTCACGCAGCTCCTGATGTCAGGACAGTGTCTGTCCAAACCATGTCCTGTGTCCTTTTCTTGGGCTGGAATAAAGGAGTGAAACTTTTGGGCAGGATGCTAGAGTGGCTGCGCTTGGCACAGCTGCTGCTGTCTGAGGGCTGGGTCTCTAGAGATTTGACTTTGTGTGAGTCAGAGCGAGCAAGAGGGTGGGAGGAAGAGAGGGCAGGGGCGAAGAGAGAGAGAGAGAGCGCGAAGACAGGAAATACAAAATAAGAGAATGCTGTGCTGAACTGAGCAAGATGAAACAGTCACAGGCCTATCAGGTCATTGTCTGTCAGGCATATGACCTCATTCTGTCACAAAACCACATGAGTGTCCAGCACGTTTCGCAGGCAGACAACCGTGACCATTAAGCAGCACGATGCTATTAGTGTGCTCTTCAGCAAAAGATGGGTTTGAGCGCATCACCTCTTTCACAGATTCACTTTGTCCTCCTTAATTTTGAACTCTGAAACATTCACATTTCAGGCTTCACAAAATAGAGAGGAGGGAGAGAAAAGTAAAGAATGGCAGGAAGCCATTCATGGTGCAGAGCTCGTCATAGTCCACAAATGCTTGGGATAAGATAAGATCACTTAATTGGCCATTTCTTGTATTAGGAACTTGTCTTTTCTCATACCCCAACTTGCTCTCTATGAGACACACAGACTGGGAGAGAAGCTTGGGGTCAGAGCGCAGGGTCAACCATTTATATGGCGCCCCTGGAGCAGCTGGGGTTAAGGGCCTTGCTCAGGGGCCCAGTGGAGTAGGATTCCTCTGCCGGCCACGGGATATGAACCGGCAACCTCCCAGCCACAGGCGCAGATCCTTAGCCACAGAGCCACTGCACCGCCCTTTTTTTAAATAAAAAAAATCATCCTTCTGCAAAGCATGCACCAGGTGACAAGCACACAAACACAGAACTGTCAGGTGGTTAGCCAGTTGTCTCCACCAACACAAAGCAGAAAGCAGCACTACCAGCAACACAGGGCAGTAAAGGTGCAAGGCATCGAAGAGCTTGTTTAAACCTACCTTTAAACGTATCGCGGCCAGATCTCTCGCTGTCGAGTCTTGTCCTTACCAGGCCCAATGATAGGAGCCCCACGAGATCCGAACTTGAGTGGCCTCAGCGAGGTCCCACTGTGGGCGCAGGTCCTGGTCTCTGGGGCCAGCCAGCATCACTGTGGCACGAGGGCACCCATGACCCTGTGCAAAGGTGGCAAAAAGATTGCTGAAGCTCCCTCACCTGAGAAGTGAATGTGCTGAAGGGGAAAATTAATTTTGCTAATTCACTCCCGTGAGTGCAGATAAGTCTCAGTATACAGGCACTTAGCCATCCCCTGACATCATTTAAACTCAAAAGCAACTATTGTTGTTGTTGTTTTCTCCAAACGAATGCAACCTTCATTACTTAGAAGCTGCCCTGGGATTCCCCTGCAAAATTTGCTTCTGTGTTATGAAAGTTTGTGATGCCTTGCCTTTATCTCCACCTGGGAGTAATGAAGGAAGTCTCCTGTTTCAGTTATAGGTGCTAAACAAAGCCTTTGTTTCAGCTTTATTCAAAACACACTACCATTCATTGACTTATACCTGGCCATTGAAAAACTGGGAAAACTGTTTGAACCCTTTAACAAGGCTAGAAGGGATGATTTCACTTTCACAGATTATAGTAGAATTCGCCTTCACTTAACTGAACAAAACGTGAATGAAGCCATCAGAACCAATGTTCTAACTGAACCATGAAACAGTACAGCCCAGCAGGAACTGAAACTCTTGTGCACAAGGGCAGGGCAGAGTTGATGCTTTCAAGACTGTTTTCAGGGGGAAAAACTCCACTACTCATAAACACCCAAATATTTTCCATCCCCCACCCCAGTGTAGGCAAGCAGCTAATTCCTGTCATGCAGGGCATTATCCTTAAAAATTAGGGCTTTATGAGATGCAGTGAGCACAGGTCAGACACCCTGCAGACAGATCATATTTCTTATATCTTTTTTTGCACTTAAGAAAACAAATATATTGCAAAATATATTTGTACTCTACAACTTTCCCCCGTGGGTCTTGGAGTCTATGATGAAATGCCTTAGTTGCAACACAACTCAAGCAAACTTGTTACTTCTGAAAAATCAGTAGTGTGGTACAGCAAATGCTTCCAGCTCTTAGGAGAGTCCCACAGTTTATTTGACTACCTGGACGGAATAGCAGTTGTACAATAATTCTGAAACAAAAAAATAAGAAGTTAAAAAGGTTATAATCAAGTTGGGGACATTAGGCTGTTTGGTAGGTAGTTAGTTGATCCAACAATTAAGTCTGTTTCTTGAAGGAAGCCAGGGTATCGGCTTCAACGTGACTGGATATGACAACAACATGACAATCCTTCGTGTGAAAAATGGGCATCCTGTTCTCAGGAAAGATTCTTTCAGGTGTGCTAGGGTATTCTCAACCTTCTAGGAAGTCCGGATATCAATGTTGCAAGCTGAAATTCTACATTTGCGCGATACAAACAGCAAAGAAGCATGCAGAAAATAATGCCTAGTATTTTCGTGAAAAAAGTAGGCGAAAATCTGGAACTTCCTCCGTCCTGTGGAATCTGTAAGTGTTCATAAACAAGCCTTCGTGACGCATGTAAGAAATAAAACGAATATCGGATCGATTTGCCTGTCACAGCATATTTTATTACGTGCAATTGATCATATTTTGCAGAAGACTGTTTCTCTGACTCATAGCACACATAGTTGCATACGCTGAGAAGTATCGGTCTCTTATCCGTAACGAAACGACTCAATTTACGTTTATACCAGTCAGTCTGAACAGCCTAATCTAAACAACAACAACAATAATAATAATCATCTGTAACTACTTTTACTTTTTTTTGTTTTACAAAATTGCACTGCCAGGCACAAACTATTTTATCAAGTGTATACGGGAGTAAAATATTTTAAACTAAACAGAAACCCACAAACGAGGATAATTGATTTCCCTCTATATTCACATTAGCAATTTTCAAACACTGTTTGAAAAAGACTGCTGTTTGTGTCTTAAAGTAAATTCCCATCACCTCGCATAGTAACGGATTTCTCCAATTCAGCAGAAGTGAACACTACAACTCGGTGTTCTTGGGGAAAAATGTACCATATCCGAACAACAACTTTATGCCGCCGGTGCAATTAATAACACACCCTTTACAATACTACGTATATTAATTCAAATTATCAAAACATACCTTTCCTGTCTTCTATGTCGTCACAGTGGTGTACCCGAGACTGGAACTCAATTTCTGAACACGTTCCTCCTCCTGCACTGCAGGTGTGCTCACCTCCACAAAGGAGTGCCGGTCAGGAGGGTGGATTGATCCCTAACGACACCCTTGACCAAAGGACAACTTTATTAGCAACACTACATGTCCGCCCACCTTGCTAGTTTTTTTTTCAAACGTCTCCGCTGGTCCTGCTATTCTGATTGTATCACTAAGTGACGATTTATTTATCTGATCTACCGACTGCCGAAGTCCTGCATCAGAGTGATAAGACTGTGTCAAATTACACACTACTGTTGGCTTTGCTACCCTTTCTTTATGACAATTAAACCACACCGATAGTCATTGGTCATAATAGTTTAAACGCCCATCTCGTATCTGAAGGGCGTTCGTTCCTGGAAAGGGTCGTAATAATTAGAAGCTTCTCCCGGAAGCCCAGGTAGCTACACAGGTGGAAGGGACTCTCTGCAGCCGCGGAAAACCCACGCGAGCCCGAGGAGAACCGAACTGAACAGAACCTGAGAGCTGAGAACTGTCAAAGAGGCGGCGCCGACACGCAATCAATTGATGCCATTAAATAAAAACAACACGTATTGTTTTATCAAACGGTATCACCTACATTTAACTGTTTAACTGTTCCATATTTGCAGCTTAAATACGCAAATCGTCAAAGATCAGATGAGAGTGTCATTTTACTTACTTTCGACTGCAGTCAAAGTGAAACCTGAGCTCAGGTGCAGAACGCTTGTCAGAATGGGTCTGTGGTTATAAAGCGAACTGGGAGTCAGAAAATGTGTAACCTGTCTACAGTCCTCCTCTTGATTGCGGCTGAGACAACACTGGCTGTCCCTGGAGTAGAGTAAACATACAGCATTTTGCATTTGATAATGGCATTTAGAAATCTCAAGACGTTCTCTTCCATCTCTATGAGTTATAATGCTACAGCAAAGTATTTAGAACAGCGTTCTTTGTTTTCTCCCTGGTACAATCATATAACGTTTATCTTTTTCATATGCAAAAATTGTGATAAGCGTAATAGGCGGGAAACGCCTTCAACAAATACGACCTTGTTGTATTCATAAAGGATAAAAACAGTGTGATACAGAAAGAAAGACGTCACGCCGTAGGGAAGCTCAGTTTGGGCAGCAGTACTCGTGAAAACTGTCGTCTGTTGTCGCACGCGATTCCCTTTGGTTATGAGGTCAGATAGACTCGCGTTTCCATTTCATAGCCCGATGCTATCTCGAGAGCGCAACTTCCTAGCTCCGTGAAGTTGTCCCCCCAACAAACATCACAAACGATGAAAAAACTCCTCATTCGTTAGTGCTGCGTTTGTGCAACGTTCGTTTCCGAGATATAACGCCTTGGTTTTTCGGAGTCGTGACGTCACTCAGCCTCCTTACAACGTCATACGGGAACCGGACCGTACCTTGCTGTTTTTGTACGTCACAGACAAAAAGTAGGCGCTATGTTGAAATATATTGAAACATCCACCTCACCCGACCAGACAGACTCAGACAACAAATTGCACCCATTGTTTTCATCACATTCTGGAGGTTAAGTACCGAGTATATTGGTACCTGTAAACGTCCTTGTAGAATGCCACGTGAATAGCCGAAAAACAAGGCGCTATATCTCGAAAACGAAAGCAGTAAAAAAGCTACTTTCAACGACACAAACCGGCACAAACGCAGCACTAACGAATGCGATGGGTTTCGTCGTTGGTGCTGTTTGTTGCGTGGGAGTCAACTTCATGGAGCTGGACAAGCAAACATGTCCTGGGCAATTACATTGCATACTGCAAAAGACAGACTTCACCTGGGAGAAATATGACGGTCTAACAAAGGCGCCTACAGTATATATGTGTCTTCAGAGGTCAAGGTGTGCCCTCACGCTGTATTCTACACCAGAAACACAAAGATAAAAAGACTGTGAGCTAATCGTTTCATGTTTGCGCGTAAGAACCCTGTAAATACAAAGTATAGTGACAGTTAATTAAATAATTTAGATATATGTTCCCTTCTGTTATGTTTATTTAAGGAGACGGCGTGAAATTGATTACTTCTTCAGATTTTAAAAACGGACACCGCTACGAAGTATTAAGACGTGCTCGTTAAAGCCTCTTTGTAAGAACATGCAATTGTGTGCAACTGTTTAAGACTATACCCGCAAGGGTATGATATTCGTGACAAATTTCATTTTCCTGCTCACACAAACGCACAGAAGATACTTGTATTAAATGCAAAATCCACGGGTGAAAATGAAGCAACAGTGGCTAGTGTGGATGTTGCTCATAGGGAACTACACAGGTTTCACAAGACAGAACTGCAGAGTGAAGACATCAGGTGAGCATCAAGTTTTGACAACTTCCCCAGTGCTAGGCAGAGGTGAGTCATCTCAGCCCAGCTGTGTTTTCAAACAACAAAACAGACAAGAAACCAGCGTTTTGGCACATAGCTCCTTCTCATTAATTCCAACCCACCTCTGAGATTGCAGATCCTCTTTCTATCTCCTGAACTAATTTAGTCTGATATCCTCTTAAACGCATGGCCTTGGTGAAGAGAAAGGGTTTTGCACTAAGAAAGCACAGGCTCGAGTCTTGTTTTGACATGTCTTATTATCCCTGCCTCCTGCACAGTACATCATATGGCACAGAATCATTAGGGGATCCACGACATTTGTAAAGCTGTATAAGATCAAGGCAGGAGTGCAGTAACAGTAATAGGGCATGTCTTGTCAGATGGTGAGACATTTATTGTTTCACACTAAACAATGTCTTCATATCAGATTTAAAAGTAAATTCCTTCCAATGAGCATATCCTTTTTAAGGTATAATATAGTGTTCTATGCATGTACTGTAAGTATGGTAAATGTAGGTCAGTAGTTAAACATCAGTAGCGACTAATTCCAGGACATTTTATAAACTCTCATGTTTAAAGACCTTTTCTATAGACTAAACCTGTTTCAGTTTCCATCAAAACCTGAAGCCTTGCTCGTGAATTGCACAACAGATTGAAAACATATGATAGGTGGATTTTCTCAGGTGAAACTAAAAATGTGCATTTTAGGTGCGTCTGTACCATGCATTTAGTTTACTTAACCTTTATTCCACTTTGTTTCAAAACCATTGCTTTTACCATAATTTTGCATTACATTTCATTGTGCTATATTAGGCTTTACTCTTCATTTAAAATACTGCACCATAATAATCCTTTATAAGGGTGATGTCATAGCATCCTGCACTCTGTAATGGCAGAATCTAACGAGCAGGACACAGAGGCCGGGGGGCCAGAGATCCTGTGTGTCCGAGGACGGGCCAGTGGCACACAGAAGTCATGCCCAGAGGTTCAGAGGTCGCAGACGCCACAACAAGATGGCAGTCAGTAGGGTGCAGGCCACCGCCATGAGGAACAGCCAGAGGAGGAACCAGCCACACTGCCACAGCCCGTGCAGCAGGGGGCGCCGCTCAATGGAGTGGGCACACCTGCAATGATAAGAGGTCCAAGTTACATGGAATGACTATGCCCAGAGTCTAAGCACATGTTTCTTTTAATGTAGCGCTGCAACTTTATTGGACACTTGCCATTAAATTAGCAAAATGTGATCTAGTGTTACGTCAAGGGCATTCATTCTTTTAAGTATCTCAAACTAGCTCCAAGGGACCTAAACTGCATGCCACCATTCTGCATGTTTGAGAGATCTCTTTAAATAACCAACAGCTTTCAACATGGAACAAGAGTAGCAAGGCTCAGTTCAGTAAAAAAACTTCAATTATGGGCTGAGATGGCATAAAGAGATCAGGAGATATAATGACTCTTTAGGACAGGAGCTGTGTATTCCTGATCCAGCTTGTTTTTCGTACTGTTGCTATCACTAACAGAGAGATCAAATGACTTGCAAGAGTCAACCTCTTACATTAGACCAATGAGAGTGTGCAGAGAAAAAGCCGCTTTACCCTATATGGATAGGAACAGACATGTTGGTTTTTAAAAAGGAAGCAAATTCCCAAGTGAATTTAAAGAATGCATAACACCACAGCCTGGCACATGGTGGACTGGTTTGCTCTTGTTACACTGAGACAAAGTAAAGATAATATACATCTGCTCACTGATATACTGCATTTAAAACAATGTGAAGGCTTTGAATTTGAGCAACAGATATTAATGCAGTCTGGGTGGGTTTTCGTCAATCATATTTTGCATTCTGTGTTTCACAGAGCTCCTACACCCAGGTTGGACAGGACTGCGTGCCCCCAACATCATTCCAGTGGGGATCCGTGTCTGAAGAATTTCCACTGGCGATCAGGTGTCTGCTATCCGAAAAACACGTCTATAAATCCTAAGCAGAACAGTACAGAAAAATAGGTGCAATCTTCTGATCCAGGAGAGATGCAGTCCTGCAGGATTAGCAGGGAATCTTGGAGTATTCTGAGGATGTAAAGACCTGTCAACAGTGGTAATTGGACAAATTAAAAAAGATAACTGATCGGATTAAGCAATTGAGAATTAAGGGCCAGGTGCTGTTGTGTGAGAGGGGTTCTACCTTTCAAGAGCAAAGGTGTCATGGTCACTGAACTCCTCCAACGCCTCCAATCCCTCCCCAGCCAGGCCTGGCTGCATCACCTCCTTGCTCCTGCGCCGGAATCGCAGTGTCTGCTGGGCCGACCTGACACAGCCAGCCAGAGAAAGAGAGAGAGCGGCGTACAGAGCAGTCAGACTCAGGTCCCCAGCAATCCAGTTACCATAAAGCTCGTATCTCTCCTTGCTTCACCATGTATTGCTTATATTTCAAATTCTTTACCCAGAGACAATGGGCAACTCATTTTTAGGAAATCAACAAAGCTCTACTTCTTCTTTTACTGATTTGATCTAATTTTCATACAGTGCAACCAGTGATTTATAAAACAATATATAAGAGAAGCAGGATGTTCTGGAGCCCTGGCGTCCTGGGTGAAACCTGTCTCACTGACATTCCCAGCTCTGGGCTCTACCTGTTAGAACACAAGTCCTCTTTTTCGCAGTTGCTGTCTCCAGGGTGTCCTGTGGCTGGGAGGGGGGAGGGGTCCCTTTGCCCCTCTGGGGAGCTGCTGTCTGCAGATGATTCCTGCAGGACTATAGGCTGCCTGGAGTGAGCAGGTGAAGCAGGCGGGAGGAAGGAGACATAAACTGGAGAAGCTTAAGTGAAGATTAAGGTCGGTTGTATCGAGGAAAACATTTATACCAACCCTATCAAAAAGCTACAGACCCCTGCTTACTCACCCCAGAAATGAAGAATGTGACTAAATCAAATCCTCATCAGTTTAGGACATTGACTAGAAGCATGTAAGCACCATTGAAATGCATGTAGAGTGGGTCTAACACATAGTTATACAACAGGTTCAATAAATACACATATACAATGTATATTATCAAATATTATCAAACCTGTTGTATATTATATTGAACAATATATATTTATTGAACCTGTGTTTAGGTGAGTACACAATCCATACAACAATTGTGATTTCCTCATTAATATCATTTTAGGAAGATTAATCTTCTATTAGGATTAAATACGAAGTGGTAGTGTGATGAACAGTCTCCCACAGACCCCAAGGGAATTGTAAGGGTGCATTTAAAGCAATCTGTATAAACTACTTCAAACTAGATTTATTTTGCTCATCAGGGAGACATTTTAGCAAATTATATTGATTGTTTATCTAGACGGGCTTTCTATTTACAGTTTATACAGAAGAAACTAATCTAACAGGACCTTCTAGTCAGAAATTATACTGGGCATGCTGCTGTTTGATACTCCCTTATAGTGAGGGAACTGAGAGGAGACTTGAAGACTTCATAACAGGATCTTCTGGTCAGAAATACCCACAATGTCATGGGCATAATGCTGTTTGATACCCCATGACACACAATTATACACTGTGTGTGTGATCTAGAGAAAACAATCAGTGGCACAGAGGAGGTCCTTGAAGAATTCTGTCCTCCTGGGACCTATCCCCATTCCATACCTGCTGCTGGGCTGGCTGGCATCCCCTAGAGCCCAGAAGAAATCTGTCTCCACACTGCTTTTCCCATCGTCTGAGCCTCTGGAATCGGAGCTGTGCAGCTGGAGGAGGAAACACGTGCTGTGAGATCAAGAACCACATGCTGTGAGACTGCTGGTTGATGCCGGGTGAAATTACACACCCTGATAGCCTGGAAGAAAAAAACTTTTTCGTTACATTACCTTATCTATACTCCATCTTCCAGTTCCAGGAATATACTGTGTAAGGGCTAAAACTGTGTTTAATGACCTTATCACAGTTTGATGTCACTCTAACTTTACTTACAGCAACCAGTGGTGCAAAGAAAAGGTGCCTTGATGTAATTTTTTCTTCATTTTCCTCTCTTAAGAGCTCTTTAAAAGTTTGGTTTCACAAAACATGTAAACACAATCAAGTTAATACACCAATTAAAAGAAGTGGTAGTCATACTTAATACCTGTGTTACACAATATTACAGCTTTTATGTAGACAGTTTCTCCAAATGATGAATGGTTTGTTAAGTGAATCTGCTTAATATTTTAATTTGATAAAAGTGCAGGTGAAATCCACTCTCCAAACTCAAGATGTTTGGCTCTTGAACGGATTTATTTAATTTAGCTGACAGTAAAATCACACACTTCCACATGCTGCTCCAGAAAGCAGTTTAGATATTTTCCTTCCCGGATCAATATCAAAACTGTATATGGAAGGATTATTTCTCCTTCTCAGTGTTTCCTCTAAAAGGAAGATATCCATTCATTAGAGGAGTCAATGCTGATGCCTGGGGGGAGTTTTGAAATAATCCTGTAAATAGTGGGGAACCCCTCTTTGAATACTGGCAATGTGATTATTTTTTGTAACAAAAATTAACGATTTCACAACGTGAAATGACGTACTCTTCCCCTCACAGCTGCAGAGATCCTGATGAGAGATTGCGCTTGGTTTGCACAAGATCCCTCCCATTAATTCGTCATGTACTTGTGATCACGTGTATCACTTCACAAGCATCCTGTGGCAACGTATTGCTAAGGGCATGATACTAAAACAGAAACTGATTGATTGACCCACCTATGATCCTACTCTTGCTGAAGTGCAGTTGTTCACCATGTATAATGTGCAATGTTGCCCCCCTGTTTCCAATCTCCTTAGCAGCAGTGAGGGTTTTTTGAGCCCAGCTGCCTGCCCCAGTCCCTGCTGCCTCTGTCTTTGCAAAGCACACCACAAAACCCCAGCTGTCAGCGTGCAACACATTTCAGCGCACTGACAGTTCAACAGCAGCTCAGAGGAAGGGGGGGGGAGCTGGTGGAGTGCTAACTCGATTCTTAGCGTTACACCATCGTGCAAACGTCTAAGACATTTTGCTCTCTTCTCTTCGTCACTCATCGTGTTTCCTTTTTTAAGCACAATTCTATGGCTGTTTTGTTTAAACAAAAACTAAAAAACATAAGCAGTGGCTTTGAGAAAGTGGTTGGTGCTCAAAGCAGACATTTCACTGTATTTTTTCCCAACAGAGCTAATAATAAAAGTGCACAAGTCTCACTGCCTTGAGATATCACGAAGGAAGCATGTTTCCTTTAATAAGGCAATGGACTTCCTTTTGATCAGATAAGATTACTTTATGGGCCATGTACAATTTCTTGTATTAGGAATTTGTCATTTTGCATACCCCAACTTGCTCTCCATGAGACACACTGACAGGGAGAGAAGCTTGGGGTCAGAGCGCAGGGTCAGCTGTCACGGACGTCCAAAGGGACTAACCGTGGAGAGCAGATAAAGACCCATATGCGTAGCGGCGGAACGGGAAAAAGGCCCGGGCTCGTTAGTGCAAAGAGTTCAGGAGTGCCGTATAGAAACCTATGTCCTCTGGTAGCGGACGTGGGGTGACCTGGTGCTAGGCGGGTCTCAGGACATCCGAACGTCAATGCTGAGCAAGGGCAGAGTGCAAGACCCGGAGATATATAGCCCAAGGGTTAAGAGAGGGACCGGAAGGGCAGTAGGCAGGAAACTAGGGACAGGACAGAGTAGGAGCGCCCTCTGCCTGCAGAGGGCGTGACATCAGCCATTTATACGGCACCCCTGGAGCAGTTGGGGTTAAGGGCCTTGCTCAGGAGCCCAGTAGAGTAGGATTCCTCTGCCGGCCGCTGGATACGAACCGGCAACTTTCCAGCCCCAGGCGCAGATCCTTAGCCACAGAGCCACTGCACTGCATCGTGTGTGTGCCCTGTGAGCGTGTGCCAATCACTGTATGGCAAGTTCTGAAACAGCGCCTTATTTAGAAGGGCAGAGGAAAATGTGCCCAGCGATCTTGATCTCAGTACGTAAAAGGTTTCAGCATCAACACCTAGGCAATACTGCTGTTGGCATCTTACACAGAGACAGTGCCAGAGGTTTCTCACATGCATTAAAGGGCCATTTCATTTGTTTGTTTCTTCAGATTCTAATGCAAGCTGAGGAGAGCTGAGCCTGGAGTACTGCTGTCTGTTCTATGTTTATTCAATTCCTGAAAGAGCTCACTTGTCTTCCTGTCCAAGGGTTTCATTAACGCTGGCCTCTGGCAGTGCTTCGAAGATCTCTTAAGTCAACTGCTACCAACAGCAACAGGTACTGTAAAAACAGCTGGAGATCAAGCCTTAAAAGATAGGTGGCGAAAAAAAATAAAAACACAACCGAAAGGAAATTTGCAGGTGTTGCGAGTGCTGCCCAGCATCAAACGCTAAGTTGCAGTCAACCAGCTGGAGACGAAGTGCATGAAGGGACAAGCCTGGTCTAAAAACTGCAGCAGCTCAGCTGCTTGGGCATGCCCAGCATGAGCCATCTAATTAGCCACAAAGAGGGCCTGATCTCTTTCCTTCAGTGTGAGGCTCAGAGCAATTTACCCCTCCAGTAGAGTGAACAGTAGCACTGTGTGGCAGTGATCTGCCCAGTCCAGCACAGTCCACCTCAGTCCCCTGAAGACCTGCATGGCAGTGGTGGTCAGGCAGGAGCTAATTGATGCTGAGGCTCTGTGCATGTGCAGTGGTGGGTTCCTTTACCTGGGTGCAGGGAGAGAGTGGCTCCCAGTCTAGGTGTCTTACCTGGGCCTGTTTGGGAATCACCGCAATGCTGACCCTTCGCCGAGCACCGTGCTGTGAGAGAGAGGAACAGCAATCAGAGGGACAACCTGTAGGCAGGAATGGAAAACTACAGGACAGAGGAAATCAGGAGTCACGAGTGAACCGTGTCCAACAGGGCCATTATCACTCATCATTCACATCCACTCTCACTCAACCTGATAGCTGTGGTTGGTGCTGCCTTTGTGATTTTAGGCAAAGTGAATCTCAAGTTCTTGGAGACACAGTCCCTGAACTCCAGGTCTAGGCTCTTACCTGGGAGTGTCTCAGGTATGTTTTCTGCCTCAGGTCACCATCTTCTGAAAGACAAGATATTGAGAAGATCATGTTCTTGTCAGAATCGGCCCTCAGCTGCTGGCTCAGATATCCAGGTTAACTTTAGGGATGAAGAAGGGCATTTTCACTGGCTCATGCAACATCATATTCATCATTGAAATGTGATCGTTCTTATTAATGAGAGACCTGCAATCACTGTAGTCATTAACAAAATAAAAACACACAGAATAAACCTTGATGCAATTTAATTTAACTATTATAAATACTAATGCAAGACTGTTCCTTTTCCTCCTGGACATATATTTTTCTGAATTAGCCAAGGGAGTTGTGGAAGACCAGCTTTTTTAGGAAAGTTAAGGAAGAAAATAAAACCATCAGAACTCCTACATAAAGGTAGGAAAATTAAGGTAAACAAAGAGGGAAGTCTCCATTTCTCAAAGACTACAAGTTACCTGGTTTTGATTTCTATCAAAAACACTAATAATTAACTAATTATTCATTAAATTATGTTTTTTTTTTTACTTAAGCAGTGCTAACTATAACATGTGTAGGACCTTGCCACATTTGTAGTGTCTGTCACTTAAGATTTGGAGTGTTCCAGTCCTCATGGGTCTGCGATTGACTTTTTTCATGCAAAAGCTGTTTCTAACAACATTGCAAGACTTTGGTCCCGGTCTGTCTGCATGTAGAGCAGTCCCCCCCGCCTGCAGGGGGCAGCACTCACCTTGCGACTCACTGAGGCGACGGCTGCGAGAGTTCCTCAGCACCATCCTCTTGGTCTCCTCCAGCTCAGTCTGGTCACGCGCATGGCGCCGCTTCAGGTTCTCCACGTGAGCGACCATCAGCTCCACTGCGTGGCTCACTCGTGCCTCCTGAGTGACGGAGAACCACAAGAGGAGCAGAGAGGTGAAATAGACAAACCTGGCAGAGAAGGAGATACACCTGCATCTCTCCCTGTCAGAGCACCACTTGCTGTGTCCATGGTTGATCCATTCATGTCTCGAGACTAAATGACTTGTGTCGAATTTGGCAGGCAGAATCAACAAGACTAAAAAGACGGCTCAGTAACTCCAGGGGATGGGATATTGGTAAAATGCAGAAATGTAACACAGGGGATACAAACACCACAAAAACACCAATTGCACAGTGTTGCAAGCACTGCAGCAACATTCAGAAGAGTTTGCATTGGAGGTAATAAGTTTGTAAGAAAAGGTCACTCAAGAAGCAATAGGAGGGATTGGTGAAGTGAAATGCTTTGCTATGTTCTACACAGGAAGCCAAGGAACTGATGGAGTTCTCATACTAGCAGTGGGTAGTGCAATAAGGGGGCAATCCAAATGAGCTATATAGGCCAAATGTCCTTCTCTCATGTGTAATTGTTGTCCTGCTGTCACCTGGTGCACAGCCCCCAGAAGCTCTGCGGTACTGGAAATGCGCTCTATGGTGTTGGACAGGACCTCCAGGCTCTGCTCCAGCTTCTGCACGATCCTGCCACGCTTGCTGTCCACAAACAGGCCTTTCAGGGTCTGGCAAACAACACATGACACCACCTACTTAGTAGGGACTGAGAAAAGAGCACTAGTAGTACTTCTGTGTCTTGGCCGCTGACACTCATACCTGGTCATGACAGTGGCCATGTCTTCTGCCTTTCATTCCACCCTGGACTCTTGGATCAATGATGTGAATCAACTGTTGACTTAATTGGTCTTTATTACCCCTGTTTTTTGGGTGTTTAATCCTTAAGGAATGTAAATAACATCTGAAAGCAGGTGGAATGGAACCCTACAGTACCAGGAGTGAATATCACTAATCTTGGTGAACATTCAGCTATAGCAGTAAGACATACTGTACTGCTTCCTATATTTAAGAGCTAAAACAAACTGTACTTCAATATCAAGGTACTTTTGGAGTATCTGTCAGGAATAAAACACCACCACAAAATCATTTAATATGCAATGGAACTTGGATTGAAAATGGAGGCACTAGTCCTCTTTGTTGTTTCTCTGTGAGAGAGTTTCACTTTGTCTCTTCTCTTCCAATTTTAACAGATTCCGTCGGTCCCTTCCTGTCTCTCTGCCTCTCCATACCTGCAGCGTGGCCCGGCCATTCTCCAGCTCTTGGCGGAAGTTCTCCTCAGCGACGTCTCTGGCTCTCTCTTCGGCCTGCAGCCTTCTCTTCAGGGTGTACTGGTCGCAGCGGAATGCCAGGGACAGCTGGGCAAAGGCAGACTACACGGGCACACAAGAGAGGGGCTGTGAAGCCCCGGGCAGCAGGGCCAGGCAGGAACCCTCCCAACCCCACCGACAGTGACCCTAAAACTGAGAAACTGAGCTCATTCAGACCCTGACGCTACGCAAGGTTAGGTTTACCTACTGAAAATGTGTTGTTCTAAAAGTAATCCTGCTCAGCAAGAGAGGAACCGCAGGTTCAGACATGTGCTGTTAGTGCTTGGCTGAAGAGTCATCTGTGGGATTAGTTAGAACCCCACCCCGCACGAGAATAGGCCTGGTTAGTCTTTCCAAAGGCATTGAAGTTCCTGAAGTGGTAATAAAATCTGCCTAAATCTGGCAAAATCTGGTTGATTTGGCCAATCTCCACTTTCCCCAATTGAGATTTAAGCTTGTCTCCATGATAGATGAGTAAACATACATGACCCCTCCCCCCTCCCCCCCTCCAAAAATTCCTAAATACTCCAGTTTCGCATTGAAACAACATCGGAGGAAGAAGAGGAGAATTCCGGAACTCACCTCTGTCTCCTCTTCTGTCAGCTGCATGCTGGGGGAGAGACACAGGACACTGCCGTTATTTTTGAACTCATTTCCAGTAGCCGGGTAAGAAGCACAGTTTATGGTTCTGCGGGATGTGCATGGATATATATGCTGGCACATGCTGGGACAGCAGGATCGCAGGTACCTATTAAGGCCGAGTCGCTCCAGAATGGACTGTTCATCCAAGGAAGTGCCCAGGTCATCAGAATCTGAATCTGAGGGGGTCAAACATAGGGCATCTTCAGGAATAGGACAGTTTGTGTCTCACCGGGCCGCAGAAACTGCAAGGACACTGGTCGCAAGCTCTGGTCACCCTAATATGCTTCTTAAACAAACTGCCAGTTCACTGCCCTAAGGAATCAATAGTGCATTTTGAAAAAAATGCTTCTAAACACATTTAAATAACTCTTAAGTAATCTATTTGTAAGGTCTGGGTAATGTATTTATTAAGATTTTTAACAGTGTAATTGGACATAGATATGTAATACATATATAGTCAAGGTTTGCTGTTGGTGAAGACTCATCAGATACATAAGTGTGCAGAAACTCTGGATAACGCTGCCCCCAGGTGGAGAGACAGCTCTTTCCTCCTCCCGGCTGCTGAAGGAGCGCACACCGTCTGCCGCGCAGTGATTTCAAGGCCGTCGCTCAGTCCTACCTTCCTCACTCTCCCCACTGCCTCTCTCTTTGTCCACGGAGCCACTGGGGCGCTGAGTGAGTCAGACAGGGATACAGTTAGAGAGGAGACACATCCAGTTTCACAGCACAGCTCACTGCTTCAGATCATTGTTGTGGTTTTTAGGGGAGTGGGAAGTCAGGAAGACTAAAGCAAAAAATACTCCTCATACAAGAATAGTATCCTCTATCAGAACAACCACGGGAAAGCGACAATAGGAGTGAAAATTATGTGTTGATTGAGTTTTTTTAGAAGGCACATTTTAACCTTCTTTTATCCAAATCCCTGGACAGGTTTATTTCAGGGCATTTTAATTTATTCTAGCAAAATTGTGGAATACAGGATAGCAGATATTGCAGTGCAGGTTACAGGGGGTTTGTCGCATGACCTGTCTCTTGTCGCATGACCTGTCTCCCTGTCAGATATCGGGGTGTCAGTGTCAGAGCTAGGGTGCACCCTCCAGTGTCTGTTTTCCGTGCCTTCACACTCCGGCTGATCAAGGGTGTGAGTGACAGGATGTCTGTGCTGGAAACTCCTCTGTACTCGGGCTCCTCTTAAGTGCCTTCGGTCTGATTTATTACTGTTCTTTATTTACGCTTCCAAAGAACAGTCTGGAGATTCACATGCATCGGGTTTTGTGTGAAGTTATGAGCACGCTCTTGGCAAACCACTGGGATTCTTATCTTGTTGGGTTACGGTAGGATTCTGGTCTGAATTCATCACGGGATTCCCCCAGCAGGACACTGGCACTCAGGTGGGCACTGCTCACCTGGCCACTCATCGTGCTGATCACCTCCTGGCTTGGGGTGGGGTCCTGCCTGCAGCCTGCTGGAGACACACACAAGGGCTTCAATCACACATTCATGTGAAAACCCCAGACATTCAGTCTCGCTCTACCTCCCAGAGTTCAATTCTGGACCATAAAAACAGAGCTTCTCGATGACATCAGCTCTTTTTCTAGTCTTACAGTACTCTGACAAAGGTTCAAAGGGGTTTAAGGGAAAACAGATATTCTCAGAAACAAAATGGAAAGGAAAGATCAATTTGTATCTAGCCTATGTCCTGCTGTTGGATATTGGCATCAGCAAGGCAGGAGGTAAGGCATTGATACTTTGAGACGAAAGCTGTATCACTGTAATATGATGACATGCAGCTCCTTTTGCAGTTTTCAGACACCCTTACATTTGTGAGAACACAGTACTTTAAGTTCTGAAATTGAGATTAGCTTTAAGAAAATATATTTCAGGATTATATTCCATGATTTGACCATAGTTATGCCTTGCTATTGTATACTTTTCCATGTTGTCAATATTTCTCTCTCACTCTTTTCATGCTCCTTTTCCCCAAAATACTTCTCTTCCCTTTCTATGACGGATAATGAGAGTGTCCTTATGAAACCTGAACTCACCCACATTGTCCTGTCACTGGAGTAACTCTGGAGTCATCTGATAACTCCAGACACAGATGACCAGTGAAACGTGCATTTGTCCAAAATGATATGTGTGGTCTATCGGTTTACGAAAAGAAGATTAAGTCTTGACCTCAGTTGTCTAAGGTGTACTGCAATTTAATCCAGACAAGGTCAAGGAGAGATACCTGTTGTTTCACTGGTGTGATGGACTTCCTGGTCTTTTGCCTGCTGTCTCAGTTGTTTCTTACTGAAAAAGAGAACAGTGTCTGAACACTAAACACACCAACCTGACTACATACAACTGTAAGTGTTCTCAGAGTGAACCTCGCTGTGTCACTAGTTCCAATTCTAGCTCTACAACTTTTTATCTGTGTACTGTATGTTCTTGTGGCAGTATACTGGATGTACTGATTTCACAATATCCACTGGAGCCTTAACATACATAATGAACCCGTCCCCCCACAAATGGAAAAACTGCCTCTCTCTGCGTTTTCTTTCTTCTCTTTTCAGCATGTAATAAACCTCTTAATTGTTCCTTTGCAGCCTACGCATGCTGACACAGCTACCCACCTGAACTACTTTTTAATTTTTAAAATTTCAGTGAAAACAAACATTCCTTTTCTTTATGATGAACACCAGATTAAGGAGGTAAAGGCTCACCTGGGTAATGAAGTGTTGTTGGTGTCCTGTGTCCCAGGATTCTGCTCATTCCCACTGCCCTGTCCACACAGAGTCAGACAGGGGTTAGAGAACAGACTACCCTCCCCCCTGAGGTGTCATTGACCCTCCCAAGAACACCTCAGGCCCGCTCCACAAAATGGGAGAAAAATTACTCCTTATACTTGAGTTTCAAAGAGCCTGTCCTCTGGACCCCACCCCTGCCCTTGAGTAGGAAAAACCACACTCCCCAAGATCTTAATAGTTTCAAGGGGCCTGTGGGGAACCATGCCAGAGCTGGGCTATCTCCAGCAATAAATAGGGAACGGGTACCTCAATTCCATCCTTCCTGTTTGATTTAGTTAGTAAATTAATCAACTAATTGATAAATCAATTTAAATCAGTATATTTCTCATCTTCAAAATTTAACTCTTCCCTCTTCAGGGTGCCCTGCACTCTCTGTTTGGGGTTACCTAGCGGAAAACCATGCTAACATCTTTCTCGGGCTGGAGCGTGTTCACTGGGGTAGACTACAACCTGCTCTCCTCATGAGGCTCGCACCTCCTGACCCCAGACCCAGTCCCACCGAGTGTTTGGATACCTGTGTCCAGTCTGGCCAGGGGTCCCGGCACGGAGGCAGGGAGGAGAGGGAGTGAGAACGCTGGAGCACTGGGGGGGAACGAGGTGGGGAGCCACTCATTCTGCTCCTTGAGAGAGATGGAGACAGAGAGAGGATGTGGCAGAGACAGAAAGAGAGAGGCAGCAAAGCAAAGGAGACAGATAAAGATGAAAGGAGAGAGAGAAGGTAGACAGTGTAGAGTTAACAGTTATGGTGAAGAGAAAATTGAGGGACGGAAGGAAACTGAGATTTAAAGAAGAAAACAACAAAGAACACACAGTACAAACTTGAGGAGATTCAGAAACAAATCGCTCATCAAGTACAATGATTTGCAGCCTGCTAATTTAAGCACATTAGGGAATGAGATACAATACAGAGCATCCCAGTTACAGACAGGAGGAGCTGACTGAGAATGCAATCGGGCAGCCAGGCAAAGAGACGTAACAGTCCTGCGAGCCAACACCCTTACTGCCAGCTCAGAGAGCTAGCCCGATACTGGACAGCACTGGGCTGTACAGCACATAGAACTTCCATTTCTACTCCACTGCCAACCTGTTAAAGTAATGAAGCTGTGGAAGTGAAAGCCGTTCTTTGTGCTCAATTGTTTTGTTAAATGTCCAAAACCTTCTTACTCAAAAGTCAAGCTATTCACACCCATTTCTCATTGCTCCACTCTGAATGACAGCCTGTAAAATATATTTTATCTTTAGTAATTCCTGAGGTTTGGCCTTAAGCAGGTCATTAAAATTTGCAAAAATAAATTTGCCCAGATTATTCATGCAACCAACAGATGTGAAGGAGTAAGGGATGTTTATCGTAGGGAGTTTAACAGTTTCCACCCTCTTTGTTACAGTCTACTACATTTAAAATAAATCAATAATAAAAAAATATTATTAGCGAGAAAGAGCGCACAACGCAAACGTTTACAGTACATACACAATCTCACCCGCGTGCTAGACGAACGAATATTCCAGCCTGCCCCAAATTCATGGCTCCAGCAGAGTACGCCAGGAATGTTATTGTTGTAAAAATAAAACCGCAACTTTTTTTCACAAAGTACATGCACAGAGCGCTTTCGTGCCACATGTAACGATGCCTAATTAGTACATCAATACCACCCCAGCTGAAACAACAGCTGTTAATGCTGAGGAACACTAAATTCAGTAAATATGAGCCTGAAAAAAGTAAATAAAATCTGGGATTACAATGCAATTTTGGCTGCCTTACCTGAATTCCTCACTCTGAGACCTCCACCACCACCTTCAGCCCCCAAAGAGCCCCCAGGAGCCCCAAACTCCTCAGCCTGGCAGAGATACTCTCCGAGCTGAAAGGAGTTTGGGAAATTCCTGGGCTGGAGTGAGGATGGCGAGAGCAATGCGCATGCTGAGGCTACCATGTGTTTACAAGGGTGTCATTGCTTAATGCGATTGAACTTGGTTTTCCTCCCACCTCTTTCTTTCTCAGTATTTCTCTCTCAGTCTTTTCATGCTCCCTGTCCCAAAAGTCTTCCTCTTTTTCCTAACCTCCCTTTATCCCTGTCACTCCTCTCCCCCCCAGCTCCCCCTCTGGCTTTCTCTCTCTCCTCTTCATCTTTGCCCCCTCTCTCTCTCTGAGGCAGCTGTTTACTCTGCTCTTTTCTCCCACTGCCTGGCTTTTCTCTCACTAATGTATACAAGGCCCTGCTGCTGTTGACAGCACCTGTATTCCCATAAAGCTGCCCAAACTATCAGGAGGAGAGGGAGGTGGGCGGACTTGTGAATGACCCCCTGCCTCCCTTCCCCCAACACCCACGTACACACCGCAGAAGGAAAGAGAAAGATGCAGCTCAAGACTAACAGAAACTTATGCTGATGCATATGGTGCTTATATAGGTGATGTATTTCACTAGCTGGAGCTTCCAAGCCACTCACACCAATAGGACAACAGGGAAAATGCTCCCAGGGACAACAGCAGAACACACTGAGGCTGGTAGCGTGCATGAAAGGACATTGGACACAGCACCATCCACTGCTGCTGTCCACATTCTCCACTATCCCCCTGTGCAGCTTTAACAAAGCAGCTGTTGGAACAGGTCAACAAAATTTAGAAGACAGGTCACTATTCATTGTTTGTTTAGTGCCCAGCCCATGAACAAGCAGACAAACAGAAAACATGGTGGTCTTTCTGCCTGGGCAGAGCTCTCACACAATTTGAAACCAATATTAGGATGAATGTCATCTGAAAAGGCGAAGTGTGAGCTCTTCCAGAGGGAAGAGGATGGGCTGTGGCACCACTGGTTGAAACAAGATGTGAGCAGAACTATGGGAAAGGGCAAAGGTCAAACTGCTTAAGGCTTATCCCTAACACGATGACTGATCCATCTTCCAGAATGGGTTTTACAGAGCTCAGTGTGGACTTGTCAAACGCGTCACTACTCGAACTGTATGGCATTGAAGATGCTGCTTGAATATTGTACTCAAAAGTGCTTTTTAAAGGAGCAAAGTGGTGTTTGTTTCTTCGAGTTGGTGAGATTCCTTTCAAAACCTAGAGACTTGTCTAGCACTGACTTCAAGACTTTATGGATTATGGGAAAAACCAGGATTTGAAAGAGACCTGAGTTAAATTATTCTACAAAGAATCTAGTTTTCAGAGCCTGTCTTGTCCATAAAAAAATGGTTTCTACCTTGCAACAAAACACAGCTGCTCACTTCTTTAACCACACTGAACAATTTCAAGCTCATTTTATACAAAAGGTATAATTAATTCCCCTCAAATTAATTCCCCTCAGATCCCCAATTCTTTCAAAGTTCAATTGGAACATCCCAAGTTCTGATTCGCAGCAGCTGATCGAGAACCTGACAAACATGTCCCATTCTCCCATGCATCAGAACCTTAGATCACAAATTCCTAAGCCAGTTCTCAAGTCTGGGCATAACAGCCCTTAATTCTTACAGTAATGCATCTAGACTACCTGTGGCTGTTCTGGTTCCGAAAACCACCAATTCTTCCATTTGTAGCAAAGAATGTGTCTTTTGCAAGACCAAGTAAAACTTCTCTGCCTTATGTCCTTCAGAACTGCAAACCCACAAGCAAACATTAAAAGATCTGCTTACCTTATGATCCCTCATGACTGCTTCACTCATCTCTCCCCATCCTGACTACTGAGGAGCACAGCAAGAAGAAGGTTAATCCCATCAGAGAGAAGCCTGCAGATTCCCAGTGACAAGCGGGCTGCTTTTACAGAAGACGCCAAGAAAAATAAAACAGCTCAAGGAGACTAAGGGTAGAACCTGCAGCCTCAAGACACGCCGACATAGTATAAACAGGCCTCTTGCATAAGGTTGTGGGGGTAATGACATTGAATTAAAAGCTCACATTAATTGTGGGAGGACTATAAACCCTGCTAGGCTGGTAGGATGGCCATTCAAAGACATGGATACTCATGTTATAAGAACCGAAAAGCTATTGCCAAGCACGAAGCTCACAGGAAGTCCTTAAGACATGCTGAAAACCAAACTTAAAGCACAAGAAGGAAAAATGTTTCAACTGCCCCCCGTAACCATCTCATATGCCAAGTTTCGGATACCAGGCCACAAACGTCAGCGTAAGAAGGGAAGATTTACTGGGCCAGTTGCCAACACTGAGGTTTGACAGCCACTTGCTTGACTCTCCTAATCCTCTAGCTGGAGCTGTGTATTTTTAGAGCTCACCACAGCTCTCAGCAGGGTTTACACTACCACACTGGACTCCCATCAGCCTCCTCTGCCAACTTACTTCAGACTGAAGACTAATCAGTCTGGCAAGATCCCCTGTGGTTGGCTAGCTTGGTTTCCCAATACACCAATCACATCTCAGCTTTGAGCCTTTTTTTAATGCTTGGCAAACACCAATTCATCTCCCCACTCCTGCCAAGCATCATGTTCATTCATCAACATAAACCTTACCTCTCCACATCTGCCACACCAGCACCATGTTAAATACATATTTTACACTGAGTGATTGTAATACACACATTCAAGTACCCAAACACAGCTCAGAATCTTTATCAGACCCTTTTCCATCTTTTAGGAATCTTGCTTTCTGATAAAGCCATTTTCACAGGACTCTTGTTATATCAAGTGCTCATGACAGACCTCTCCACTCCAAGGTTTGCCATTTAAAGCTTCTAATTGTCTGCTGCAGTTCAAATAAAGAAAACCCACCCACTTCAATGAGGATCAGTTAATAACACTCTAAAGTACTCAGTGTACAAAGTGATGATTAGGATCAGGCACATGAACAGTGTGCTCTATTTAGAATTAATACTACTGCAATAATTATGTGCTGAATCACACCTTAGGTGGAACCTTTACCAAAAACAATTGCTCATGGAATAAACAGACACGAGAGCAGAAGGCTTCTTTCCCAAAGATTTATTTGTACAAAAAGGGATGCTGTCTAGTAGAGGCGCTGGGGCTTGCCCATGGTGCTCTTGATGTAGAGCGCGCGCACGTTCTGCCAGTTCTTCTTCAGCAGCGACACCAAGAAGTTGATGGCCAGGTGGATGTTGTAGACCAGCTCTTCTTCGGTCATCTTGACATGACCCACGGCAACAGCCAGACACAGCACCTGGAGAGGAAAAGCCATTACTGGAGAAGGGCAGGCAGCACCCACTCACCGCCCAAACACCCCCAATTTTACCCCTAGTCGCCAGTTCAGAGGTTCGTGAGTCAGAAGAGTTTAGCCTGAGCAAAACCATTCCACACAACCTTTCACTTGGCTGGTTTGAGATTGGGAGCTACAGTTTAAGATGCTTTACACATGAACTAGCATAAATTACTTCATCCTGATCATGTAGTATTTATGTCTATATGTTAACCAAAAGCACCGCACGCACTATGGTGTCATTTTTCCAAACGGCACAATCTGAAAAGACTGTGAGAATGCATCAATGACTTAATGTCTAGAAAAACTAGTAGCCCTTACCTTCTTCATCTGGAACTTGATGGTGGATTTGACCTCATCCACCTTGGTGTTCAGATTCTCGTTGTGGGTGAGCAGGGAGGGGAACTTGCCAGCCTTGTTCAGCCCCGGCCCCAGGATTCGGGGAATCTGCTTGATCAAGGACTCGGAAGCCAGGAAAGCATCATACTTCTTAGCTGTGTTGGGAGGGGACAGGGGATACTGAGTTAATCTGCAGCAAGTGAACAACACTTTGAACTCAAAGACAAGAAAAGACTGAGAACTGCCATAATCTTAGGCAGAACAATGTATGATGAAGTGGATTTCACAGCTTTACACACATTGCCTTTAAGTTAAAACCCATGGAGCTTTTGCAGAAGGACTTAAATATCTCAGAAGACATAAAAGCCTCCTCTACGTATGAGACCTCTTGCAGATGTCAGGTCATTATATAGCACAGTGGTTCTCAAACTGTGGTACGAGTACCAGCAGTGGTACGCAGAGCGCTGCCAGCTGGTACGCCATATGATCTATAGAACTTTGTTGTGTGCGCTGAAAAATTGGGACGGTTTTCACATTTTCTATTTTAAAACGTGTCGAATACGCAGCCTACGTACTGCGATACAGTGTGCGCTAATACTTGAGTGGTCACAAGAGATTACTCTGTAATTCTATACCACTCTATAGGAATGCGTGCTACGGACGAAGTGACCAATTGTATTTAAAAAAAAAACTATCTCCAGCAAATAGGGAGGTAGGAGAATATGCGTGATTTTGGAACAATGCCAATGTTGTAAACACAGGAATGCATAGAAATCCGTGCTACTAACACTTGTAATCTTGTGAGCACAGGAAAGCGTGATAGATAACAGAAAAATATTTAAGAACTGTTCAAAGTTAATTTGAGAAAAATACACAGAGCGTCTCTGCGTTTCATTCCCATGCGCACGAAATAAAAATTTAAAATACAGAAATAAAAACGGAAACGGGGAAAAATGCAAGCTTGCGGATTGCTAAAGCAGGTAAGCTCCACACTATTTTTGAAGAACCTTATTTACTGGTGGCAAAAGAGCTGACACGTATTATGTGTGGAGAAAGGCTTCTAAACAGCTCGACCTGCTGCCCCCCTGAAAGACACGGTCATTCATAGAATTATTGAAATTATATCAAAAGTACGCTGATAGAGCGCATTAAGATGAGCAGATGTTTTTCACTGCAATTAGCCGAGTCTATAGTCAATTTGGGCAATTTACTCGTTTACTTTAGATACGAGTTTGAGGGTATGTCCCGTGAGGACTTTCTGTAATGTAAGCCGCTACCAACAGGAACTACAGAAGAGTACATATTTCAACTTCTGAATTAATTTTTCCAAAGAGAATGGCATCGACTGGATAAAATGTGTCGGAGTTTGTACAGATGGTGCTAGAGCGATGACAAGCCGACATGGCGGTGTAGTTGCACGAATCAAAGAGGTTGCTCCAAAAATTAATGGACGCATTGCAACATTCGCCACGAGAGCTATGACATCAAGAAAATGCCTGATGATTTAAAATCTGTTAGACTCTGTTGTGAATTGTATCAAGGCTCAAAAAATGAATTC